ACGCTGTCTCTCTCTCTCTCTCTCTCTCTCTCTCTCTCTCTCTCTCTCATCTGCCGATCTCATCTAGATCCGATCCTGTTGGAATAAAGATCGTATACAGTTAGCATCGCTAACAAACTGCATGATCCTCAATTAGTATCTTTTCTCGGCGATATATCTTATTTTCCAATCTCGTCAGGTCACTGGAACAAATCAAGTTATAATTAGAAAATTGAGAGCACGTTCCTTTCAATCATAATAAAACAAACTAATTAAAGGTAAATGCACTTACGATTAAATGTCGTACAATCTTTGATGGCGTATTTTGAATATTTTAATCTAAGTTCATTTTATTTAGCGCATTGCTTGTAAGTAAATTTAGAACGTGTGATATGAAATGACGTATGATTTTTATGTGGTTTCATATTCTGATTACAAGTCTCTAAGTGGCGATAAAGTCCAAGATTTATGAGTATTGACTATGAGATTTATCGAATAATGAATTCCATTTCAAGTTTTTTATAAATTTTTTTAAACTTTCAGATTTTTTTTACAATATTTGAATAATTTGTAACAATTAATAATAATCGCTTTTTTTTAAACAAGACAAGATTTCAGATATTTACGAATTTAACAAGGCAAATCGCTGGTATAATGGTTTAGGTGTTTCCATCGTGTTCCAGAACGTTCGAGGTACAGCTGCAGTAGCTAATCGATAGATGCACGAAGCGAGTTATAGATATAACATATAGAAATTGCGCGATGTTCGTCGTTTTCTACCCAGCAAAATAAACGCATCGATTATACGTTTCATCTATTATTTCCCTCTTCACGATTGTGTCATCAGCGAAACAAAAATGGAGAATAGAAGTAAAGATTAATATAACCGCAACGCTTTCGTCATAGGTTATAAAAAAACTCATTCTAATTCTTATAATTGATATTAATATCTTTGTGTAAATTATAGCAACCTTATAGTTAATGACAATATAACTTGAATTTTTTTTTTCAATAAACTACACGGCCTAGAACATGGCAAAATAAAGCAAATAATAAGTTCATATAAAGTTAGATATCTTCTCTGCCTCCCATGTCTATATTAAACCCGACAAATTGTTTATACTTCATCGCGCAGCCAGGATAACATCTTCGTAAGGGTGAGTATCTATTATGCAACAGAAAAAATTGTCCCATCCCGTTCGAGTGCCACGCAGAACTTCGATCTGCTAGAGAAAGGGAAAAGTGCTGCGACGCAATATTCTCTCCCTCGAAGACCTCCCTTACAAAGTTTTCCTCTCGCTGTCGCGGCACCGCGGCTACCCTCATCAACTCGCTACATAAATAACGAATTCCTCGTTCGCGGCATCGTGCTTCCCCGAGCATACGAGTAACCTGCCCGCTGGACTAATTTTAGTTGCCTCGCCGGTATCGCGCGACCTTGAACTCGGCAGTCACGTCGAGGATGATGTTACAGCCGGGTCGGGATACACCGGCTGGATTCGGATCTGAAATCGCGGATTCTGGTCGCGCGGCGTCGAGCAACCGGTCGAACGGGCAGCCGGTTTACAACGATCTGCCCCGTGACACTTGTGGTATGACAATGCTGCAAGTAGATATATTTTTCCACGGGGACAACATGGGCGTTTTCGAGCCCCGGGGTGCACGCAGATGTGTGTATGTGTGTGTGTGTGTGTGTGTGTGCGCGCGCGCGCGCGCGCGCGCGCGTGTGTGTGTGTGTGTGTGTGTGTGTGTGTGCAGCTTGGAGCGCGCGTTTCTCGAAACGTCGGCGAAACGCCCCGCTATCGATCGCATTCGTGACCAAGTCCCAGCCGGCGAGAGTGTGTCGCTAGGTGAAGGTTGATGAACCTTCGCCGATTACACGTACGATGTTTTCGCCCGGCCGATGCAAATCCGACGTACCCACCGTATAAATTACAGCGAAATTACGCAATTCTACGAGCCGCAATACGGGACTACGCTTCAGGATTATTCGTGCGAACTGTCGGAGAGATTTTCACTTGTAAAATATATATATCTCTGTTAAAACTATTTTCACTCTCTATATTTGAATTAAATTAACACTTTACAATAAAATTTAATCAATATAAGAATTTACCTTTTTGCTATCCACTCGAATAAAATTAACATAACACAGACATAAAAACAGTTTTATGAGAAGTCCGGATTCTTTATTATCAGTTTGATATCTTATCTTATGTAAATTTATGTAGAAGTGATAGCAAGAATATATAAACATAACTCACTACATTCTTATTTTTCCTAAAATAGAATAATGTCAGCGGGGAACCAAGAGTGGTTCTATATATATGTATATATAAAAATATCAGGCTTCAGCTTTTAGACGTTCGCTTCGAGAGAAGAAGTAAAGAGATAAAAATAATATAAAGCTCAGCGTGGGATCTTTTGATATTATAAAAGTTTTCGAGATACACTCTCAATCATATCAAACCTCACTCAGATAATGTTCTATTTTTAAATGGCAAAAAGAATTGTACTTTTAAACATAATAAATGTACTATTGGAGGAATAAAAAATTAGTTAGTTTGAAAATTTATGTATTTATTAATTATTTATCAAATAAATATATATCATCATATAAATATGTATAATCAGAATAATATTGCGCAATTATATGGCGCTGATCTTCTTTGTCTATAGTCGGTTAAATTTGTCAATAACAATTGAATATTGAACAATTATATTATTGCAAATAATTATTTATATAATCTTAAGATCTTATTACTATAAAAAATTTATATCATATTATTAATCTTTGTATAATTATTCGATAACAATAAATAAATTTTATAAATATTATAAATAGAAAAGATGGAAGTAATTATAATTAAAATAAAAATATATGATCATATTCTAAGATTTTTAATTTTTAAATAAATTTTATAAATTTTATTTTAAGTGCTAAGTAGGTAAGAAAGTCATAGTATTGAAACTATCATCGAGTTACATCTGCCATCTAGTAAAACCTGAAGTTACTCTGAAGAAGACATGACCAATAGACGATAATACAAAGAAAATAAGTGAAATAAATAAATTATGTAATTGTTGTGTAAAACAAATTTACTGATATATAAATATTATCCTCATTTACGAATTGTAAGAAGTTATCAAGTTTATAATAGTTACTAAGTTATTTATGGTACTGTATTATGTGACTGTGACAAAATATGAAACGATTTTTCATTACTTAAACCAATAGATTTTCTTCTTTTTGGTTGTTTTTCTGCAAAAAATATTAGATAAGCATACGTTCCAAGTAAAGCTCCCAAGATTGGACCAAGCCAATAAATCTAATTAAAGGAAAAAATTTTTTTAATTAAAAAATTGTAAAAGAAAAATTAAGGATAAAAATGTTAATAAATTTTAATAATCTATATTAAATAGATTTGACTCTTATATGAAATATTATATATTTCTATTATATATAGCTTAATCTTGAAATATTCGCTACATAGAAAAATCTTCGATATGTTTGAACAAACTGATATTTCATTAGAGATAATTTTATTATGTCTATTGCACTGCTTGTGCAATCCGTCATTCAGTATATCTAGTATATAATTTTATAGATTCTTATCACTATGATTAAAAACAGATTTACATTATCACATTTTGTGCATTGTACACAATCTCAAATTACTATTCAATAAAATGAAAATATTATTGCTAATAAATTTTTAAATACAATTAATATTATATGACGTAACATTATAATTAAAGCTTGATAAATTTTTTATGAAAATAAATTTTCAGTCTGTGTCTCGTTTTTGTCTATATTATTATGTATATGTAATGGAATATTTGTTTTTAACTTACCCAGTGATCTTTCCAAGCATTATTCCACAACGCAGGCGCAAATGTTCGTGCTGGATTCATACTGCACCCAGTATAAGGACCCTGAAAAGATAGAAAAAAATAAGTCGATTTTTCTAACAAAAATTTCTTCATAAAACTCCGATTGACTATATCAATTATTTTTATATAAACAATTTTTATATGAACAGTTTTTTTACAATGACATATTTTGGAGACTGTTATTGGATTATTAAAAATGTACATTTTTAAACTTTAATATAAATGTAGGAGAAAGAATGTAATAAAAACATTAATAATAAAGGTAATAATTGTATTGTTAAAAGTAGTATTACCGCTGTAAAGGAAAGGACGGCGACTGAAAGGCCGAATTTGAGGGCGACTGAATCTGTAATGTGAGCACATCGAGGATCCCATGTGGCACAAGCCGCACAAAGTAAACAACTTGTGCAAAACACTTCAATTAACAAACCCTGCACGCTACTGATCCCTGGATGAATAACCGTGACACAAAAGCCGGCTGTCGAGTTCGAGTTTCCGTCATTGAATAATTCCGCTGGCGTTGTCATCTGCGAGAATATCATCGTTCGTCATGTACATATTCATTGTATTACTGAGAATAACGGAAGGAATAATAGCACTTTTAAAGCTCCATATCCCATAGTAGCACCGATAAGTTGTCCCAAGATGTAAACCACGCCGGTCGGGATTGATTTTAGACCCATAATGACAGCACCGATGGTGATAGCCGGATTTAGATGTGCACCACTTACATGACCTAACATCTAAGAAACATCAATGCTTAAAATCTATGCGTGGAAACCGTATCTTTCTTCGTAAAAATATATATTTTTCATCAATAATAAAACTAATAAAATTATTTAATTTCAAATTTCATGCGAAATTTGTGTAGAAGTTATGTCGCGTGTTAATAAAGAATATATATTCGTATAAAATAATATTTAATTAATTTGTTCTAAATATGCAATCAAATTATACATACCATAATAATGAGGTTTATCGTCAAACCGAAAGCGAGTGCTGTTTGCAGCGGCGAAGGTGATGCAGATCCCATGCTGCCGATAGATCCCATACAACCGAAGAGCAAGAGGATACCTGTACCAACAATCTCTGCCGCGAACATCCTCATCGTATTCTCCTGTATTTTCCATATTTCATCTGTAAAAATCGCACCAGCGGATTTTAAAGTTTATCTAAATCTCCATAAAATACTTATTAATAAAATACTTATTACCTCGATCGTTCGGCATGGTAAAATTGTGCACCAACGTTGACTTTACTATTAAGACTACTTTAATCGACTTGGCTATTGAGACTACTTTAATCGCATCGCATCGCTGTTCTCCGCAAGGTATAAAAAAAAATGCGATATCTTATCGAGATATATCGAGCATTTACTTGAACTGTTTACTGCATGTGCTGGGAAGTTCCACGATAATATATAGTTTTTTCGAATTCGATAGAAATATTGCGGAATTTTAAATTTAAATTTTTATTTAAATTTAAAATCCAAATAAAAATCATATATTGTTGCCAAATATTCCGAAAAACTCGTTTTTTTTCGCGTAATTCTACTCACATTCCAAATGGCCATCCTCTGGAAAGAGAACTCTACACCTTTAGGCGACGTGGAAGAATAAAGCTCCAACCTGAAGAGTACAAAGCCATCGCTATCACAGCGCATGCGTTGTCGTTGAAATTGCATGCGTTTTCCTCGCCATTAAAACTTTCAACGATTGTCTCACAGATTGTCCGCAGAAAATCGTCGTAGAAACATGCAAATTGCGCTCGCATGCGAGCCACATTTACCTCTCGCAGGATGTGTTCGACAGCTGTTGAACATATTCGCACAGCGCTCTATATTATATACGTCTGCTATATCCTATATTTAATATAATATTATATTCTAAAATCTATATTCTAAAGGAAAATAATTAAGCTAAAGGTTTCGAGAGCAATGTCAAGAAACGATTCTATACTATTTAGAAATCAAAATTATAAGTCTGACACCGAATACGTGGTGAAGGTGGCCAAGACCCTGTTAACGCCCATTGGTATCTGGCCGCTATATCGAGGCAACTCTAGATCCGACAAGATCAAGAATTATATCCAGACGAGTTTAATATTCTGCTTGATGTGCTTTCTGCTCATTCCACACGTCATATATACCTTCTTCGACGCGGAGGATCTGACCAGATATATGAAAGTCATAGCCGCTCAGGTATTCAGCTTGCTCGCCATTATTAAATTCTGGACGATGATCATCAACAGGGAGGGCATCAGATATTGCCTGCAGCAAATGGAAATTCAATACAGGGATGTGGAGTGCGAGGAGGATCGGTTGGTGATGACGAAGAATGCCAAAATCGGCAGACTATTTACCATAACGTATTTGGGATTATCATACGGCGGCGCATTGCCTTATCACATAATCATGCCACTATTAGCAGACAGAATCGTCAAAGAAGACAACACGACGCAGATACCCTTGCCGTACCTCAGCGACTATATTTTCTTCGTGGTGGAAGACTCGCCTCTCTATGAGATCATCTTCGTCTCGCAGATTTTAATCAGCAGCGTCATCCTCTCTACAAATTGTGGCGTTTACAGCTTAATAGCCACCTGTGTAATGCACAGTTGTTGCTTATTCGAAGTCGTACGCAGGCAGATGGAAACGATCCTCAATGATGGAACCGACAATCTCCACGAGCGACTCGGAAGAATAATCGAAAACCACATACAAGCCATCAAGTAAGAAAGTTTCAATTTACGCATTATATTGATGTGCTTCTGTAAATTTTTTCATTGTGGTTAAATTAAATTGCATGCAATGTTGCGATTATATATTATGTTACATATTAAAAACTAAAAAAGAAATAAAAAAGTAATTGGAAAAGAAAACAACATTTACGTAGTTCACGTCAGATTTATTTATCTCTGGGTAATAAAATGTGTTACAGATTTGCAGAGATGATTGAGAAATCATTAAATATGTTTTTTATGCGAAATGGTTGGCTGCACTATTATTATATGTTTTCTGGAATTCGGAGTTCTTAAGGTATCTCTATAAAAGTTATTAATTATTATAATAATTATAATAAATTATATATCATCGAAATTATTAGTCATTTTCCCACCGATTGATTCCTTCATCGCCCTTACTCGTGAGTGGCTGTCATCGCAGAGATCGTTTTGACGGTTGTGTTGTAACAAAGGGTTAATAGTGTAACAATATTATATAACTTTATTCAACATAAATATTTGCGAAATGAAGAAGATTCGTCTTTGTCCCATGTCTCTATGTTTATTTTTTGAGAAGTCGCCTTTTAAAAATCTGCAGGTGCCGCCTTGTGAAAAAAACTGTGAAAAAACGCCGCGTGCCTTCTTAGTTTAGATCTTCACACTTCTTTGCCTTTCCAAAAAGTGTGAAAACACTTTATAGTATAAGCGTTTTGAAATCCGATACGCCGCCACCGTGAAAATGTATGCGTGCGCCAACTATTGGATGGATCGATATCGATTGCGATTGCGATCAATATTATCAATATCTTTTTAATAGTATGATATAATTTTTGCTTTTTTTGTTTAAAAATGTTTTTGTTTAAAAATTTTTTGTTAAAAAAAATAAATAGCGCGCGTAGTATCTAATGAAAATAAAAAACACACAAAAGTGAAATAAAATATAAAACTATATTTATACAAATTTATTTCAGGAATGGGAAGATGGCAAGATCTTACCCATGGGTACATATTTTGTTCTAATGACATCTATATTCGTAAATGTTTATATTATATCTGCTATCGGCGATCGCCTTAAAGAAGAAGTACATAATTTTTTATTAAATAACTTATATTTTATAAAATTATCTTATATTTTATTATACTATTATCTTATACTTTAAAAAATAAAAATTTCACACGTTATCCATAAAATTTGAATTATAAAATAATAAGATTAATTAATTAATTGATATTTGTTTGTTCCTCTTAAAGAGCGAAAAAGTAGGAGAATCGTCATATTCGATCTATTGGTATGATTTGCCAACAAAAATCGTAAGCGATTTAATTCTGATAATACTCAGATCAAGCCGCCCATCAACCTTGACAGCTGCGAAAATATTTGATCTCTCCCTTCAAGGATTCTGCGAGGTAATTAATTGTTATAACATTTTTCCGAAAATTGATATAATATCTGCTATACGTATCATATGTGTTTCAGGTTTGCAAAACATCAGCGGCGTATTTCAATTTTATACGAGCGATGACAACATAAATTTTCGAATAATATCGCATCGAATAATATCGCATAAAATATCAAGTATCAAATATCTATAATAAATACTAAACTGTCACTAAAATATAATATATTTCACTTTTTTTAACAAAACACTTTTCTGTCGAGTAACAAATTGTATTACTAACAGTTACTTAAATAACATGTAATTTCCATATATATCTTTATATCCACGATTCTATCTTTTCTTGGAAAAAATTTATTTAAATTACAGCTTTGTACTGCACCTTCTAACTTCACAATTGCGTAATGCGTATTCTTTGTTTAGAACTTTATTTATTGTCCTATCATTATTTTTCCCCTTTCGAAACTCTTTTTTATTCGAGTATTATCACAGTTATTTCATAAAACGTAAATTGTAAGTAATATAAAATTACTGTTATTGTAAGTAATATAAAATTGCTACTGGTATTGTAAGTAATATAAAATTACTACATTCAATTTAAATTATAAGTTTGCTTATAAGAACCATTTCAATAAAATGACTTACCGAGATATAAATAATATGGCGCTGATATGTTGAATAGTGAAGAAAGCGCAATTGACTTTATAAAATTTTATGTGTATAAATATCAATATCTTATGTATATCTCTTATATATGTTTTGCATTATATTTATCTTTTGATATAAATTATGCCGGTTTATGTATATAAACTGCTCATTTTTATCAAAGTTAAGAAATATATAGAGAATGGCAAATTATTTACTATAAAAAATAATATTATTTAAAATTTATGTAAAATGATTTTAAGAATTTATAATTATAACAATCTTTTAATATACTTGAAAAAGTTTGTATTTGCAATATCAAAAAATATTAGATATTATCAATTTAACTTTACTACTATTAACTAATTATTAACTAATTTTTTATTCTGATATTTTTGCAATTAACTTAAAAACGCGCACATTTCGAATTAGACTTCACAGCGTATATTTGCTAGTCGAGATATATTCACAGCTCCGAACACTGTACGCTTTTGCTCCCGATAGCTCAACAAAGTAAATCTGCCTCTCCACAATAGCCTCCACAGCGCCTGCGTAGTCACTGAAATCATACATATCTTTTTTTCCCACTGGAAATTACGGCAGTTCTCGGAAGAATAGCTCTTATTGAAAGCTCTCCGGAGCGGAGAGCCGAACTTTTCGCACGCAAGCGCCCACGGTTAATTTGCGTGCCACCCGATCAACAATTCCACGGTCACCACTTATCGTCGAGAGTTGGGGATCAAATGTGCGAAGTGATCGAGCAATTATAGAACGATGATCTCGACAATATTGCCGGCCGACGATCGCGCGCTGTTTCGAAATTTCAATTACAGATCCGATGTGGAGTACGCGATAAAAGTCGCCAAAATTCTCTTGACCCCCATTGGCATCTGGCCGCTTTACGGGGATGATTCCACTCTGGATAGAATCAAATACGTTTTGCAGACGAGCGTCACGTTCACTCTGATGTGTTTTCTGCTCGTCCCCCACGTTATATATACCTTCTTCGATGCGGAGGACTTGACCAGATACATGAAGGTGATAGCCGCTCAGGTGTTCAGCCTTCTGGGAATCATCAAATTTTGGACGATGATTATTAACAAAAATGATATCAAGTGCTGTTTGCAAGAGATGGAGATTCAATATAGGAATGTGGAGAGTGAGGAGGATCGACTGGTAATGATAAAGAACGCCAAGGCCGGCAGGCAATTCACTATGATGTATTTGGTGTTGCTTTATGGTGGAGCGTTGCCCTATCACATAATTATGCCTCTGGTGGCGGAAAAGATTGTTCGGGAGGATAACACGACTCATTTGCCTCTGCCTTATCTCAGCGACTACGTCTTCTTCGTAGTGGAAAACTGGAACTCACCTTTCTATGAGATCCTCTTCGTTATCCAGATTATATTCAGTACTATGATCCTGTCAACAAATTGCGGAGTTTATAGCTTGATTGCTAGCTGCGTGATGCATGCTTGTTGTTTATTCGAGATTGCTCGCAGACATATGGAAACGTTGTTGGTCGGTGGAACCGATAATCTTCATGAACGATTCGGCTGGATAATCACGCATCACATGCGAGCTCTCAGGTTGGAAAGAAAGTGAATTTTTCCAATAAATTTTTCCGTTGCTAAACATAAATATATATTTATTTATAAAAAAGATTAATCTAAATTTATTTTTACCAAATATTATTTTAAATGATATAAGTAATTTCTATTCATCATATTATTCTATCTTTTTATATACAATTACTCCAATTTAATAATAATTATTTTTATTTCGCTATGTCTATTATAGATATGTTGAGATGATTGAAAATTCATTAAGTTTCGTCTTTTTATCAGAAATGGTTGGATGTACTATTATTATATGCTTCCTTGAATATGGAGTTCTCAAGGTATTTCGATGTATCTCTTAATTGGTGGAGTAATTTTACTTTTTTATTATAATCTTAAAAATAGATTATATAAGAATTTTTCTACATAAATTTTTTTTTAGGAATGGGAAGACAACAAACTATTTGGTGTGATTATATATTTTATATTAGTAATTTCGATTTTTGTAAACGTTTTTACCTTAGCAAGTATCGGCGATCGTCTCAAAGAAGAGGTAAAATTTATTAATCATAATTTTGAAGCAAATAATAGATAATATAGTCATTACATAAAGCTAGTTAATTTAATTATTGAACATCGAGCTCGAGATTTATGTCTGATATTTTGCCTTAATAAAGAGTGTAAAAATTGGAGAGGCATCGTATTCCATTGACTGGTATACGATACCAACGAAAAATATAAACAGTTTAATTATGGTGATGATAAGGTCGAATCGTCCGTCAACTTTGACAGCTGCTAAAATGTTTGATGTCTCTCTTTACAGTTTTTGCGACGTAAGTACTGTATATATTATCATATTAATCTAAAAATTAATACATGTTCGCTTAATGTTCACAAATGTTTACAGGTATGCAAGACGTCAATGGCGTATTTTAATTTTATTCGAATGGTTACAATGTAAAACATGATTATTCCAAATACCATTCCCTGAAATATTAATTTTTTATCTTGTTTAAAATATATTAAAATTTCTTACCTATACTCAATCACAAATATAAAAATATTATATTCATTTTTCTTTATTCATATTTATCATTTCAGCGACATTCATTAAAGTCACATTACGAATCAAATGATGAATCAATTATTTGATTAATTCATCAACATTTAATTAAAGTAACATTAAGACTATTTCCGGATCAGTCATTATAGCCGCATTAATGCTCATTATTAACATGCATCATTTAATACATTTTTACAATTATATTAATATTGTATTCATATTTATATCGTATGTACTAAAACGTTTAATATCATTATTATTAATCAATATCACAAAACTCTCGGTCATGGTTCTTCCATTTCACAGTACACGATCAAACTATAAACTACAATAAACTATAACTACAATAAAGTCGACATCTTAGTTCGCAACCGCGTGGATTGCATCCCCTCCGTCCTAAAGTTTCTCAAGGCATTATTAATATCCTCTTGCTCCGTCTACAACTGCGCTTTTTTTTTTACCCCACCGGAACCTTCTACAAAGTACAAGACATAAATGTTTACAGACTATCTTAATCATTCGGAAAACAGCCAGATGTATCATCTTGCGCATGCGAGACCGACAATCGTCAACCCTATCATTCTGGCTGTCAGTCAACGTCAAGTTACCATAAAATTAGTATCATTAAAAAAGAAAAAGTGTTTCCATTTAACGCAAACTCGAGTCGCTGCAGCTATGGACGACTCGAATCTCGCGCAAAAAAATGAACGTCTTTTAGATTTTCATTATGCCGCGTATATCAGCTTTATGTTGCTGAAGCCGATCGGTGTTTGGCCATTGCGACCTCGCGCAACCACATTGGAGATCATTGTCCATGGCTTTTCGATCGCTGTCGCCACGATTCTTCAACTTTTTATGATTATCCCATGGATTATATGTATAATCGTCGCAAAATGGAGCTTCTACGAGATTATTAGGACCGCATGTCCCTTAATATTCGCGATAACCGTTTTCATACGATATTTGCTGCTGCTGTTCCATCGAGATGAGATCAAATTGTGCATCGATCGCGTAGCTGAAGATTGGAGTAACACAATGATATCTGAAGATCGCAAAATCATGCTAGAAAATGCCAAATCAGGACGTTTCTTTGGCATATTATCGATGACATTTATGTACGGCAGTGGTTTACCTTTCGCCAGCATGCCTTTCGTATTGTCACTCTTTGCTGCCGAAAGTAACATAACGATCAGAGAGTTACCCGTTCCTTGCGAACTAATTTTTCTGGACGTCCAGGTCAATTTGATGTACGACGTTGAGTTCTTTCATTAGAAGACACAAAGTTACTCATTAATCGATCATTTTCTTATAATTATCCAGATTTTCCTCTCCCTTTGTCTTTCTATCATGATATATAGAATTAAACAGGATTTTTAAATAATAATTTAAATAATTAATTACATTCATTAATAAAGTCTATATCGAATTGTAAATGGAAAGTTATGAATTTTACGATTTTTTAAATTTATTACGTGCAGGTCAGTCCGGTTTACGAAGTGACATATATACTGGAATTTTTTACATTTTTCGTTTTGTATGCCGTATTCTCCGGAATTTGTAGCTTGACCGCAAAATTTGTCATGCATGCATGCGGTCAATGCGATATTCTTATGTATATTTTAGAAGAATTGATCGATGGTGGCGATCGAAACCAGGGTACTCTTGATCAAAGGATCAGCACCGTTATATTACGTCATCTCCAAATACTTAGGTTAAACGCACGGTTGCTTTTAATATATATAAATAAACGTATTTTTTTCTTGCAGTGTCTACAAACATTTTATGAATTTCAGATTCATTTCTGCCATAGACAAGATACTGAATGAGATATGTTTAGCGGAATTTGTGAATGCTTCGTGCAATATATGTTTACTTGGTTACTACGTTATTATGGTATGTTATTAATTAATTTTGATATTTGATAATTATCTAAAAAATAATGAGGAAATTTTTTTTAATACTGTTGCGTGTAGGATTGGAATAATGGGGAATCAATGCTACAGATTTATGTATATTCCCTTGCTTTTGTATCGATTACTTTTAATATATACGTATTTTGCCACATCGGCGAACAGCTCGTAGAACGATGGCAAAAAATCGGTAATAAATGTTACATGATCGATTGGTACCGATTGCCGCAAAATAAAGCACGTAATTTAATTTTCCCAATTATCATGTCGAATTATTCGGTTAAACTTACTGCCGGAAAAATACTGCAAATTACTATAGACACTTTTTCTAACGTGAGTAAATTTTACATTAATTTTGAGTTATGTATGTTTTTATTTTTATATTTTTAGTGTATAATTTTATAAAAAATTATTTAAACATTACGAATAACAATAATGTTTTACATTGATACCGATGCTCTAGATTTTGAAAACATCAATGGCATACCTTAATATACTTCGTGAAGTTTCCTCGCGGGAAATCATGTAAATAGCAACAACATTGACAAAAAATTTCTTAAGAAAATCGTAATATAAAATAATTAATATTTTCAAAAATGTGTGCGAGCGATCTGCTGGATGTAATACATAAGCTCATAGAGACATATAACAGTTGCGTGAGGCACAAAGTCATGTAAAAAAAAAAAAAACTTTCAACATGTTGTAGAATTTTTCGAAGAAAAGGTCGGAAAATATCAGAATTACATTTTGTCAGTAACTTTACGATTATCCTCCAACAAAAGTTTTTTTACCACATCATCGTGGAAACCGCAGCCGTCCCGTCTCACCCTTTCCCGATTTGTTCCAGTCGCACCTGTCGTTTTCCCCGGTAAAACTTAACTTAATATATTAGAAAATGCAAATTACGAGTTTTCAAAGTCGCTTTTACGTGGCGAAGACGGGAGAGTTCATCGAACGAACCGCGCATGTCTCGTGGTAAGAAATCGCGTAATCCTGATTTCGCGATCGGAACAGTAAAGACAAAGCCGGCGGCGGCATCACACCGTTGGAGATGGTCGATCGGAAGCGAGAGAACACATTTGTGAATACTCTTGCTGTCGGCGTGCGAACGAAGCAGAACGAGTCGCACGTCTTGGACTTTCGTTATGCCGTTCAGATAAGCGTCTGCTTGCTGAAACCAATTGGTGCCTGGCCGCTGGCCAGCGATGAGACGTCGAGGCTCAAAATCGTTCTGCATAAGGCGTCGATGGTGATCGTCACGTTTCTCCTGGTCTTCATGATCGTGCCGTGGATCATACTTATTGTGAAAGAGAAATGGGGCGTCTTCCTCATATTACGTACGATGTGCCCGCTGATCTTTATAACAACGGTCTTCGCGAGATACGTTCTGTTGCTTTGGCATCAGGATCGACTCAAGGTCTGCATCGATCGCATGGCCGACGATTGGCGGTTCGCAATAATCGCCGAGGATCGGGATGTCATGTTGGCGAACGCTCGACTAGGCCGTACCTTTGGCATGGTTTCCGTGGTTTTCATGTTCAGTAGTGGAGCGCTGTACTACGCGCTACCCTTAACCATGCCAAAGATGATCAACGAGGACAACGTTACCGTAAGATCGCATCCGTCGCCCTGTGAATTTCTTGTGTTTGATGCCAAGGTAAAACTTTCAATTTGATTGATGACGTAGACCTCTGGTTTAATTTCTTATTGGCGCTTCTTAGCGTTTATTCTTTATTCTTTATTCTTTATTCTTTATTCTTTACAATTTTAGGTATTGACTTTTTTTTATAACATAGAATTTAAGCTTCAATCGTATTAAAATCATCATATAAATCAACTTATCACATAGGTTAGTCCTGTGTATGAGATCGTGTACTTCTTGCAACTTTTATCCGGTTACACTGCCTACAGTACATTCAGCGGCATTTGCAGCTTGATAGCCAATTTCGTCACGCATGTGTGCGGACAATACGACATGTTAATATCGATTTTTGAAGAAACCGTGGACGGCGGCAAGCACAATAGCGGTTCCATCAAAGATCGAATCGCCATCGCGATCAATCGGCATTTGCGTCTGTTAAGGTAATCCGACTAATAAGATTTTTATTACAACAATTACGCTTGATAACAATTAAAATTTTATTCAGACAGCAGCGATGTTTTGAAGTTTTATTAGAGACAATTTTCCAGATTGGTTTCTAACGTAAGCAGCTTATTTACCGAGATATGTTTTGTGGAATTCATAAGCGCTTCGTGTAACATATGTCTCTTCGGCTATTACATCATTACTGTATGTTAAATACAGTCTAGAAGAGTAATTTTGCACACGTATTAATATTTTAAAATTACAGCGATCGCTAATTTCTTTTCGTATTTCAGGATATGAATAATAACGAATCATTTGTGCAGATCGGTATGTTTACCTTTGCACTTTTGTCGACTATTTTCAACATATTCATGTTCTGTTACATCGGTGATTTGCTCAAAGAACGCTGCCAAAGAGTGGGAATCGCTTGTTACGCAATCGAATGGTACCGGATGCCATCCAGGAAGGCACTTGAGCTACTTATGCCGATGGCAATGTCTCAATATCCTATGACACTTACCGCAGGAAAAATGATAACAATGACACTTTCTACATTCAGCGACGTGAGTAATATCGCTTCGCGTTCTACACACGCGAGGTATAATTAAGACTGCTTGAAATAATTACGTATTTTATACATACCGCATCGCAATATGTTTAGATATTGAAATTAGTCTGTGTTAAATATTGTGCCGGTAGATCCATGTAAAGCCGATAAATCCGAATAAAATATGTACTGAAAATCTGGAAAATGCTTGAGAAATTTCTGAAAATAGAATATTGTATCGTAGATCTTAAAAACGTCAATGGCCTATTTCAATTTACTCCGTGAATTTTCCTCGCGAGACATTACAAGAACATGAGGTACATACGTGACGTGATGAGGTGACATTCCGAAAAAAAACTACTATGCTTAGAATATTTATATAGCAATTTACAATTGTCGATTATAGCTTGATAAATTGTGCACGTATTAGTAAAGCACTTAAATAAATTATTACTAAAATAAATTATTTCTCTTAAAAATATGACAATATTTTTATATAAGTAAAACCTATAAAATAGCAGAATTATGCTTCAAAATAGCAGAGTTGTGCTTCTGTATTATTCAGACAAAGATAGGATAAAAGTTTTTGCCTACATGTTGATGAAGTTGGGGTGAAAATACCCGTTCTTTGTCCCCTTGAAAAATAAACGTTCCCGTGATTCAAGTTACAAAGTCAAAGTTTCCATCGTGTACATCCAACAACATGAGAATGTTACATCGTGTGTAAAATCAATCGCGAAACTTCTTTTCGATGATTATCCCGTCTCCCTTGAGTCTCTTTAATTTTTAAAGCACGCAGGCGCAAGTCGTCCGAGGGTTTGTATCCCATCTGACATGTACAAGTCAAATTGCAACCAGCAAAATCAAACCATACACAAACCTAAACGTATCTCGATTTGAGTCCAGCAGTTCACTAAAAATTTCTGTTTCTTTTCAATTTCTCGTATATCCGCTTTCTCGCGATCATAGGCTTCTCAATCACTTTAACATTAGGAAAGGAGAAGCTTGATTTTCGCAGAAAAATCGTACAGTTGTATCATCAGGATGATCCTCAATGAACATCACGAGGCAGACGTGAAATACGTCGTCGAACAAAGTAACGTTATACTTCGTATGCTGGGGATCTGGCCATCGACCGACAGACGACCGGACATTATCGAAAAGATCACGAATATCGTTCTCGTGATCATCTGCTATCTGCTTCTGCATTGCGACATGGTACCGGGTGTTCTTTATTACGCGTTCGTCGACGATGAGCCGCGTGAAAGAGTGAAGATGATGCCGCCAATCCTGTACTCAATCATGGCGATCGCCAAGTACAGTAATTTGATTATCCATGAATGCAATATCAGAAGCTGCCTGCGGCACATCAAGGAAGATTGGAAAACAATAGCCATTGGTAACGAGCGAGAAATGATGCTGAACAAAGCCAGCAAAGGAAGACGATTGTTCACCTTGTGCTGCACGTTCATGTATTGCGGTGGATTATCTTACAACACGGTAGTGCCATTGTCGAGAGGGAGTATCGTTATCAATGAGAATATCACGATTAGACCGTTTTCTTGCCCCGGTTATTACGTTTTCTTCGATCCGCAAAACAGTCCCGCCTACGAGATCGTGTTTCTCCTACAAGTCCTTTGCGGTTTTGTCATGTACACAATCACGGTGGCGATTTGCGGCCTCGCCGCTGTTTTCGTGATGCATGCCTGCGCCCAGATGGAGATCTTGATGCGACTGATGGAAAATCTTGTCGACGAGAGTGAAAGTTTTGGGCAACGGAACGTCAAAGCGAAATTGGCGCTCATAATTGAACATCAAATAAGAATACGGAAGTAAGTATTTTCTTTTATCATATCATTCTTTTTCGTTATGTGGAAGATTATTAAATAAATATACCCAAGGATATGAGATTACTCTAAAAATGTCTATAATTCCGTAATCGATTTGAATGTTAAATAGGTAACGATTAATATGTTAGGAAAAATTTATGTACTTATATTTTTTAAACAAAAGCGAAATGCATCCTTTTCCGTTTTCAACTGTTGAATCAAGAATGTGCTCGATAACTACATTTTAGTTTCTTGCAACTGGTGGAGAATACTTTGCGCTACGGTAACTTGGTCGAAATAGTGGGGTGCACCACGATCATATGTCTCTGTGGATATTGTATAATAGGGGTACGAAAAACACGCAGGCAAATGCAGGCAATTGTGTTTAAGCGCACACAATGCGTGTCGCAAATACAAACTAATTTTATTCTCAGGAATGGGAGGATAGAAACGTACCGGCCATGATTTCGTACGTAACAGCACTTACGTCTGTCATTATTAATATTTTTATTTTATGCTTTATTGGAGAGTACATAACGTCGCAGGTAATTTAAAAATATTTTATATCTTGTAAAATAGTTGACATTGTTTTCAGACATATTAATGAATACGTAAATGAAATAATAAACAATAAAACATTAATTGTAAAAAAAATTTACTCCCGTATATAAAATTGTATATATTTTCGCAATTTTTATTATAATTCCTTTTATTATATTCTTGCAAAAATTATTCTTGTTAATTTTACAAACAATATAAATATTTGTTTGCTATCTTCTGAAAAACATGAGATATTCTTGATTGTCTACAGGCAGAAGAAGTGAGCCTAACTTCTTGTACACTGAATTGGTATCGTCTTCCGACAAACATAGCACGAGATATGATATTAATAACAGCCGCTTCAAATGTTGCACCTCGAATTACTGCTGGAAAATTTATCGATCTATCCTTCAGAACATTTGGTGATGTGAGTGAATATATTTTTTATTAAGTAAAGATTAATTATTGAATTCCTTTAAGAATTTAAGAAATCATTTTAGGTAATTAAATCATCTGTAGTTTATTTTAACATGCTTCGACAACTTACCGAATAAATAGAATTGAGATTAAATCTTTTTTTTTACATAAATGTATGTCTATATATTTTAATAGATATATTAAAAGATTTACTATCACTATTAACAGCAATGGTATCAATTACAAAAGGTAAATATTTTTATAAGATATAAATACAATAATGTTATGCAACAAATATTAATTCAAATTTTTAAATATTCACTTATATGTTACATAAATATTAAAAAAATTCTTTATATCTTACAATTATAAAATTTAAGATTGCATCTCTCTCGCACTGCTGTCGCAAGTAAACATTCTTCTCAGAACGTTAACCTTTCCGTAGTTTTCGAGAAATCCTTCCTTTACACAATATTGCAAAATAAAAATAGTCTCGCGCAACATCTCTCTTTTTACACGCGCGATGTTAGCGATTTGTTCGACGTGGCTTTGCGAGATTGTGTCAACACGCAAGCGCGTGCGAGTTGCGAGTTCTCTTCAATCGAACAACGAATCAACCGCGATCAGCAGCGAGTGAACGCGTGTCATTTCTACCGTCATTTCTAGCATCGCAAAGAAAAGATGTCCAACAAAAATTACAAAAGTGATATAAACTACGTCTTCGAGCTGAACCGCTTCGTTTTTCATTTGTTGAGCATCTGGCCGAGCGCACGAAGTCTTGATTTCCGGAGACTCTCGAGAGAATCACGATGATCCTCGCTTTCTACATTGTCCTCATCTGCGAATTGGTCCCAGCGATTCTTTATATGATCATCGTGCAGAAAGAAACTCGTCACAGGCTCAAAGTAATCGTCACGGTGATATTCACGATTCTGCGATGGCCAAATATGGTCAATTGCTATTCGGTAGGAACCAAGTTAAAAATTGTCTTAGGCAAGTCGAGGATGATTGGCGAAACGTCACCGACTTACGCGATAATATAATGATCGATAAGGCTAAAACTGGCACATTTACTTATAATATGCGCTGCATTGATGTACTCAACTGGAGTGTCTTTTTGAACGATCATACCATTATCACATGGGAAAATCATCACTGAACAGAACATCACGATTAGGCACCTACCATGTCCAACCTATTTTGTTCTGTTTTCGAGCAGCTCAGCCCCGCTTATGAGATCGTGTTCCTCATGCAATTCTTTTCGGGATTTGTCAAGTGCACAGTCACGACGGCGATGTACTTCTTGCAGGCCTCTTTGTGATGCACATTTGCATCCAGCTGGAAATATTGACAATCCTAATGAACAATCTGGTAAACGAATCAGAATTAAAAAATGTGAACAAGAGATCAGCCGATATTGTTAGACATCAGATTAAAACGCGAAAGTAAGATAGTCTTTACAATTTGCAAATTTTTTATTAATGTATGTTTTTTAATTGAAATTTATATTTTTTATATTTTATATTATTTTATATAAATAGATATCACGTTATTGTAAATAATTTATATATGTATACATAGAGATACATAATAAGGATCCGTTCAATAAGTAAATTTTTTATAAACGTATTTGATTATTGATTTTTTTTTTAATTTTATTGTATATGAATATATCTTATTTATTAAGGAATCTTCATATATATTTTCTTCTGTATTCTATATGGAGAAATAGAGGATCATTTTTAATAAGCAAAATTTATATCTTTCATGCGTTGCGTTTTTAGTTTCCTGCAATTGGTACAGGACAATACTTTTACAATATACAAGTCTAATGAAAGTCACGGGATGCACTTTAATCGCATACCTTTTAGGATATTTTATTATCATGGTACGCAAAAGAAAACTATGTAGCGACAATAATTTCAGAGATTTTAAATGAGTATTATATAATATTATTAAATACAATGTGTTGTATAATATTTAATAATATTAGATAACAATAAATATTCTATAAAATATATATGACTATATCAAATTTACAGGAATGGGAAGACAATAATACAACAGCTTTATGTTCGTATACCATTGGACATCTATTACTTGCAACATTTTTATCTTTTGCTTCATCGGTGAACAATTATTGGCAAAGGTATGCAATTAAATTAACGAAATTAATAATTAATTTTTATCCGGATGTTACATTAGTAATTTAACACATATATCTAATTAAATTAGGAAGAGAAAGTAGCATTAACAGCATGCACATTGGAATGGTATCGTCTTCCGAACGCGAAAGCGCGATCATTGATATTAATTATGATCATGTCGTATTCTCCGACAAAGCTCGGAGGAGGAAAATTCATTGATCTTTCCTTTAGAACATTTGGCAATGTAAGTGACAATGTATATATATATATAAAATAATAATGAAATAGACTCTTACAAAAATTTGTCTTTTAGGTCGTTAAAACGGCCGTAACGTATTTAAATCTCTCTGTTATCGGCTAGTTTCGAATAAATATTTGTAAATTTGAAAAAGTAGTCTCCAAATAAATATGTAACGTTGAAACAAATTCTTCTTCATTAGAATATTTATTGTAAACAAATGAAAAGCAGAAATTAAAATATTTATTAACGTTTATATACAATGGTGAACTTTTAATCACACATATATCAATATTGCAACTTCAAAAAAGTGTGAGTTGTGATAAGTCATTAGAAAATGTCAAGCAGTTATTGTTTTTCAGAAAATTGAAAAACTTGATCAACATTAAAATACTTCTATAGAAACAATGTATCGTTTTTACATATTTTCTATTTTTCGTGCAATTATAAATTTGACAATTTTACTTTAGTTCTTCTTAAAAACAATCATAAATTGTGATAAAACTTGACGAATATAAATACATTATTTAATTTATTAACATTATATAATAGCAATGGATGAATATTATTGTATTTATAGTTTTCTAAACAAATCAAAGTATCTATATAAATAGGAATATACTGATGGTCAATGTTCGACGAATGCGACCGTGAGTTAAAACAAAAAAAGAAGTTAAAGTCACTCGATTATTTCTAGTTATTTGAGCGAGATGTACACGTGATGCCTAGAAATACTATTCATAGAAAGCAATTCCTGACCCTCGGAAAGCAAGTTGACTTGGAAACTCTTCTATTTGCGAACCCTTCATTTTAATCTTTAAGACGCGCAAGCGCAAACGGAAGGCAAATTTACTTTATTGACAATTTTTATTTGCAGCCGTCAGTCGCAATCCAGTTTTCTTAAGGATTTCGAGATCAGCAAGAAAATGCTGACCAACATACACTATAAAGATGATATGATTTACATCACATACTTAACGCGTATAATTTTAAACTGTCTTGGGGTTTGGCCGTCTGTCGGCAGAAGAAGAACTACCAGCGAAAAAATATGGAAATACTTCTTAATCACGATCTCTTATACTCTTCTTTACTTCGTTCTGCTCCCCGGTGGCCTTTTCTGGTTTGTCGAGAAGAGAACGCGTGTCAGGATTCGTACAATCCCTCTGCTTTTGTACAGCTTAATGGCCAGCGGTAAATACATTAGTCTCATATTTCGTGAAAAACATATCAGACGCTGTTTAAGACATATCGAGGAAGATTGGAAGATCGTTCCTAGCGCGGAAGCGCGGGACATGATGCTCGAATCCGCGAAGATCGGAAGACGCCTGGTAACACTTTGCGCGATCTTCATGTACGGCAACGGGGTCACTTTTCGATCGATCCTGCCGTTCGCCAAGGGAAAGATCGTCAATGCGCAAAACGTCACGATCAAGCCGCTACCCTCTCCAGCTTACTTCTTTTCTTTAGACGTACAAGCCAGTCCTACTTACGAGATGATTTTTGTAATGCAGATTTTATCTGGGTTAGTTACATACTCGATAACAACAGGTTTATGCGGCCTCGCGGCCGTCTTTGCGATGCACGCTTGTGGCCAATTAAAAATTCTAATGAATCTTATGACAAATCTTGTTGAGAAACAGTGGCAGGAAAAACGAGAAGTGGACAGAAGAATGGCTAGAATGGTTGAACATCAAATAAGAATACGTAGGTAAGACTTTAAAAGTTTCAGTTTTTACTAAATCATATATATTGGGTTAATGTTTGTTGGGTTATTGTTTTATTCATATTAAAACTTAAATATATAAAATACATGAAATTATTATCAATATAATTTAATAAAAAAGATAAAAATTTGATGTTTTATCCTTTATGTAATATTTTGTGATAACTGAAAATTTGCTGATTGATTAGTTAATATTAAATACGCGTAAAGTATAGTTAATTTTAAAGTATAATTAATTTTAAAGTATAGTTAATTTTTTTTCAATGTTTGAATTTATTGATTCAGTGTTTCGACATTTCAGTTTTTTGCAATTGGTAGAAAATACTCTACAACAAGCGTGTCTAATAGAGTTATTAGGATGTACGGTGATAGTCTGCCTTCTAGGATATTTTATAATAATGGTTCGTAATTGTACTTAGTGACTTAGTTTTTAAAAAGAATATTTCATGCAAAAATGTAATATTTATAGGAATGGGAGAATAGTAATCCGATAGCTATGTGCTCTTATTTTGTAGCACTTATATCTCTGATGATAAATATGTTCATGTTTTGTTACACCGGTGAACAACTCACCGTTCAAGTATGTTTGTTTTTATATAATTATGATTAATTATGTATATAATTATATAATATCTGTTTCCATATAATTGATGATATTTAATACTTATATTACTACAATAATATTCAACAATATTATTTCCTTCATACAAGATAACACTTGTTTTATAAAAAAGTTGTTAAATGTTCGAAACGTTTTTAAAATATTTTTTAAATAACATTCAAACCTGCAAAATTTTGCTATGCATACTTGATAACGTTAATGACAGGCGGAGAGAGTAGCTATTACATCTTGCGAGCTGGAGTGGTATCGTCTTCCAGAAAAGAAAGCGCGAGGGATCGTACTAGTGATAATCATGTCAAATTTGCCCATCAGGATCACCGCTGGGAAAATAATGGATTTGTCACTCAAGACGTACGGCGATGTAAGGAGATATTCAAAAGAATTCCCATTTTTTTCACGAATTCTATACAACAATTATAACATTTTATGGTTTTATATACCAATATGTCATTATGATTATCATAAATATAATAAGCATCTGTTCAAGAATTTTTTTAATTTGCAAGTAGTCTATTGTGTGCTAAATACATATACTTTATTTTATATAATATGGCCAGACAAATCCAATGAATATCGATGATCTTAAATATGAAACTAAACTGTATAATATAAATCAATTTAACGATTTAATAATACAGCTAATTAAAAATAAATACAAATATAATAAAGATTTTTGAGATTGAAACAATAAGTGAGAAAAGGCCAAATAAAAGTCAGCACTCTTGTATAACGTAATATATGTATACCTTTTTGTAGTACAAAAAGGTATACATATCTTTCTCTCTCCAACAAATCATTATATATACATTATTTATACATTATATCTTTTACTTGCAATTAGTGAGTCAAAGCAAAATAATAAATAAGTAATTGCGAAATACTATTCTTGTTTTTCAGGTTGTGAAGACAGCTGTGACATATTTTAATATGCTTTTAAATATGATCGATTAAATACAATTCCTGCAATACAATATCTTTCTTCTTGTCGTCAGAATTACGATTACGTATCTCGTAATATTCATATCACGTATGTATGACATAGATCAATACAGAAATCTGATCAGATATAACATGTACATATATATTTATATATATCCTTTATTTAAATATACTTTTTTATATATAAAAAGCGTAGGAATTTTTGTTTCAAAGTATGACAAATTATATGTTTACAAACAACAATTTGATAATTAATTAACCGTTATTATATTATATTATATTAAAACTATACCTTTATCTTATTGCATAAATTATAATTCTGTTTTATTATAAAGAGGACACTCAGTAGGAATGAAATGATAATAAAAAATATGATTTCATATTTATCAATTATAAAATCAGTACTATTTATAATAATATGTGACCAAATCGATGTATCATATAATATAATTAGAATTGTCATATTGGAATTTTTTCAAAATATTGTCATTTCTTCAAAATAATAATCTGAATTTCATATTGCATATCGATAAAATCGATATTACGTGTGACAAAAATATGTAAAATATATATGTAAAATATCAAGAAATCAAATGCAATATGTTCATTCATTAGATACTATAATATTCATATAGATGTGACTTTGATTTGAATATATCTTTATATAATTGAATTTATAATTTTTCTCCTCGTAAAATAACAAGCTATATTTTAATGTTACATATAAAAAAAGAGATGTATTTGTCTATTTTCCTAAGCATCATCATATTTAAAAATCTATTTTAAGTGACATTTAAATTTTTGAGGTATTCTGAGATAAATTTCTGATCTATACTATAACATATAATCTTTATCTTATTTTTCATCGAACACTGTAATGTAGTTCTAATGTATAATATATTTTAATCGAAGAGTTGCAGTCATCACGATGATATAAGCAATCAAAAAATACTATTTATAACGTAATCGCGTAATACATTTAATAGCGCAAGAAGTTATCGTCCGTCAAATTTTAAAAACCAGTTTTTCTTACATCAATTGCAATCGTCAATAACTTTTCTTTGTGAGCCGTTAACCTTTGAATAACATGAAACAGATGACCTTTTCTTCTTCATTGAAAAAAATTGCAAGCAACCCCTTCAAAAGTTTCTGTACACACATCACCCATCAGCCGTTTACTTGACGTGGCTTTTCAGTCCCCTGAACACGCACGCGCACTATTACAAGTTACTTTTATACGAAGGATACTGCGGTCAGTGACCAACAGAGACAATCCGTCTGAGATACCACGCGTTACGGAAATGTTCGCACGCAACACCGCTGTATCATGTCGAGAAGTTGAGAAATATCATATAAGAAATTCTACAACCAATCCGCCTGCCAAAATGTTCGCCAACAAGTATTACGAACGTGACATAGAATACGTATTCGCGACGAATCGCTTCTTTTTTCGCTTAGTAGGCATATGGCCATTCGCGAGCGTAAACTCTTTTATTCCGGAATTAGTGAAGACGGTCCCGCTGATACTCACGTGTTTTGTTTCCCTTCTCGGCGAAATAATTCCGATCATGCTCTATATATTCATGGTGCTGACGGACGTTCGCCTACGGCTGAAAGTCGTGGGCAGCGCGATATTCGCAATAGTAGAACTCATCAAGTACAGTTACGTGTTGCTCTACAAGGATCAAGTAAGGAACTGCCTGATGCTCGTCGATGAAGATTGGCGAAACATTGTCAGTCCAAGTGTTCGCGACTCGATGATTGACAGAGTCAGAACCGGTAAACGTTTGATCGTGATCTGTGCCGTACTTGTGTATATCACTGGCTTGAGCACTCGATTAGCCATGCCGTTGGCAGTGGGCAAGATTGTCACCCCTGAAAATATTACCATCAGGCCTCTGCCGTGTGTTGCTCATCTCGTTATACTCGATGTGCAACAAACTCCTATTTACGAACTCATGTATTTCATACAATCTCTCTCGGGATTTATAAAGTATACGATTACGGTGGCAACTTTCGGTTTCGTAACCGTCTGCGGAATGCACTTTTGTGCACAATCAGAAATGCTTATGCAATTAATGAATAATTTTGTAAACGAGAGTCGATCGGAAAACTTGAACAAGAGGTTGGCTACTGTCGTGGAGCATCAAATCAGAATAAGAAAGTGAGTTTCTCGTTTCTTCGTTTCTTGAATATCAATAATGACGTTCGTATGTCGATTTGTTATTATAATTTTAAGTTTATTATAGTTTTATAATTTTATAATTTTAATTTTTAAATTAATTTTTAAGTATTTTAAGTTAAGTCAAAGATTATAATTACTCTATTTTAATATACGTGATAATATATTCTACGGTAAAGAATTTGTCTTTAATTTTTAAAGATATAAATATTTTTAAAGATAGAAGCAGTAAATTTTTATTAAGGATACTGTTTACCTTCTCATCATATATTTCAGTTTTTTAGAATTGGTGCAAAACGTGACCCAATTTACGAGTTTAATAGAAATTGTGGGGTCAACCATAATGATATGTTTCGCAGGATATTATATTATCATGGTGCGCAATAATATTTACATAACAAAAAATTTTCAAAGAAGATTATAATTATAAATATATGCAATAATGATGATAAGATAATCATTACTGCATTATAACATTATTGCAAAAAGTCAATAAAATTTACATTTTACAAGAAGTTAAAAAATTGTTTAACTTACAGGAATGGGAAGATAATAATATCGTTCGTCTGTGTACATATCTTTCAGCATTAATAATGTTTTGTTTCAATGTATTTATCTATTGTTATATGGGCGAGCAGATTATCGAACAGGTATGTGTCGCCGAGTTATTATTCATTGTTGGTGACAATAATTATAACACATTTAACAGATAACAAAGCGGGTTATTTGAGGGATATAGTTTCTTTTTCTCGCACTACTGATGCATAAAATTAATTCATGAAATTAGGGAGAGAAAATAGCATTAACTGCATGCACATTAGAATGGTATGATCTCCCGGACGACAAAGCGCGATCGATAATACTGATCATAATCATGTCGAATTCTCCGAAAAAACTCCAAGGCGGAAAATTCATTGATCTTTCCTTTAGAACTTTTGGCAATGTAAGTGACAATATGCTAGAAAAGCATAAAAAAAATTTTTATAAATATTGTATTATATTTCAGATTGTTAAAATGGCTGTAACATATCTAAATCTTCTTCGTTCTGTTGTTGAATAGTTTCAAATAGATATTCATACATTCAAAAAAGTAGTTGATGCCAAAAAACATGTAATGTTGAAACAAATTCCCTTTTATTAGAAAATTTGTTATACAAATAAATAAAAAGTCATGTAAAAGATTAAATATTTATTACGACTCGTAATACTTATTATTAGTTTACATAATCGCAAGCTTTTCTCTCAACTATTGACAATTTCTTATTAACACCTAGTTGACCCATTACGATTCTTTATTTGCTACAATATATTAATCATTTGCTTGAAGGAGAGTGACTCTTTAGTCTTGACATGCATGCACATTATATCGAGCTACCTTCATATAAAGGATACGTCTTGCGATCATTTGCCAACAGAAGTAATTAGTCTCGATATTGTGCAGTACGGAAATATTTGCATGCAATATAGCTATGTTGTCATGTCATGAAATTAGAAAGCATCATCGCAATATAAGAAATGGCAGAATACGCTTGTCAAGATGTACGCCAACAAGTATCACGAATGTGATATAGAACACATTTTCGCAGTGAATCGCTTCTTTTTTTGCTTACTAGGAATATGGCCATTTGCACGCGTGAATTCTTTTATTCCAGAGTTACTGAAAATGGTCCCGCTGGTCCTCACGTGTTTCGTTTTCTTTTCCGGCAACATAATCCCTATGCTCTATATACTTATGGTGCTAACGGATGTTCGTCTACAAGTCATGGGCAGTGCAATATTAGCGATAGTACAATTCATCAAGTACAATTATATGCTGCTTTATAAAGATCAAATTATTAACTACCTAATGATGAATGATGAAATATTGTTAGTCCGAGTGATCGCGTCTTGATGATTGACAATCAGAAGTAATAAATGTCTAATCATAAAGTTTTTGTCCTATTTGTATACTCGACTAAATGATAAAAGAGCATATTACAATTCTAACTTAGTTCTTCACTATAATATTTGTAAAAGGAAATGTAGGAGCACAAAATCCATTCAAAAGTTAAAATATTTATTGATGTCTATGTATAACGCAAAAGCTTTTACTTACCACAATGTTGCAGCTTCGAAGAGTATGAATTACAACAGAAATATTAGCAAAGTCAAATGTGATTACTTTTCAGAAAATTGGAAAACTTGATCGGTATATCGAAATACTCTTCGTGGAAACGATTTGCCACTTTTATTTTCTGCTTCGCACGCAACTACAGTTAAAACTTTACTTTCCTACCTTAAACAGTTATACTTATAGTATATGATATGATACTTATAGTATATGATAAAATACTGCATGTACAAATTTTATGTTTTATTTTTATTTATTCCATTAATGTTGTTCAGAAACATCATGCGTATTATTTACTGAACTTTAAATCAAAGTATTCTACATAATCGAGGGAAACTATTGTCGGCGGTCAATGTCTGATGAAAGGTAATCTTGAGTTTTAATACAGGAAGAAAAGTTGAAACCGGTTATTCCTAGTTTCTTGAAAAATATATACACGTCAATGAATAGAAATACTATTCGTAGAAAGCAATCCTAACCCTCGATGAACAAGTTGACTTGGAAACTCTTCTACTTTCAAACTTTCACACAACATTTTAATCTTTAAAGCGCGCAAGCGCAAGCGGACAGTTGTTTACTTTATTGACAGTTCTTATTTGCAGCGATCAGTTGCTATTCAGCTTCTGTAGAGATTTCATTTAAGACTGGTAAAAAAATGTTGCGCAACAAGCGTTGCAAAGATAACATGATTTACATTACACGATTGACGCGTCAGGTTTTAAGCTTGCTCGGGGTCTGGCCATCCTACGACAGAAAAAGATCTACCGGCGAGAGTATCTGGAAATATTTCTTAATCTCCATGTCTTACATTCTTCTCTACTGCGTCTTGATCCCCGGAGGTTTTTTCTGGATAATTGAGAAGAGAACACGCGTCAGAATCCAAACGATCCCTCTGCTTCTCTACGGCTTCATGGCCTGCGGTAAATACGGCAACCTTATATTTCGGGAGAAAAATATCAGGAGATGCTTAAAGCACATTGAGGAAGATTGGAGGATCGTAACCAACGTGGATGCGCGAGATACAATGATCGAATCGGCGAATAGCGGAAGACGCTTGGTCACGCTTTGCGCGGTCTTCATGTACGGCAGCGGACTCTCCTTTCGATCGATCCTGCCGTTCGCCAAGGGAAAGATCGTCACCGCGCAAAACATTACGATCAAACCCTTGCCTTGTCCGGCTTACTTCTTTTCCTTCGATATACAAGTCAGCCCCTTTTACGAGTTGGTCTTTGCAATACAATTTTTATCTGGGATAGTCACCTTTTCGATAACAACAGCTTTATGTGGTCTTGCCGCCGTTTTCGTGATGCATGCCTGCGGCCAGCTGAAAATTCTGGTGGATCTGATGAGAAATCTCGTCGAGGACCAGTGGCAAGAAAAAGAAGAAGTGGACAAGAAACTGGCTAGAATGGTCGAACATCAAATAAGAATTCGAAAGTATGAAATATTTTTTTATTAAAACCATATACAAAATATATGGAGAATTTAACATCCGTAACATTTATTTGCTAATTGATGGTTAACAATATATATATATGTAGAGTGTAATTAATTTTATTTTCTCATTTCTCGAATGTGGTCGTTCGTTGCGATATTTCAGTTTTTTAAAATTGATAGAAAATACTCTACAACAAGCATGTCTAATAGAGTTGTTGGGATGCACGATAATAGTCTGCCTTCTAGGATATTTTATAATAATGGTTCGTAATTTCACTTATCTGTGAATTTCAATACCAGAGTGCAAAAAAAAATGTTTTGTGCAGAAATGTGATATTTATAGGAATGGGAGAATAGTAATTCAGTAGCTATGTGCTCCTATTTTATATCATTTACATCTATGATGATAAATATGTTTATATTCTGTTACACCGGTGAACAACTGACCGTTCAGGTATATTTATTCATTCTTTTTTCTGTTATCTGAGACTATCTTATGTGATGATCTTATGCAATGCAATGAAACATGATAATGCTATTTGTGTCTTTTTAGCGAGATAACATTTAATTTGTAAAGAGGTTGAAAATATTTTCAAAATATTTTTAAGTAGCATTTAAATTCACAAAATTTCACTATGTGTACTTGATAATATTAATAATAGGCGGAAAGCGTAGCTAGAGCATCTTGCGAGCTGGAGTGGTATCGTCTTCCAGAAAAGAAAGCGCGAGGGATCGTGCTAGTGATAATCATGTCAAATTTGCCCATCAGAATCACCGCTGGAAAAATGGTGGATTTGTCACTCAAGACGTACGGCAATGTAAGAACATATTTAAAAGAAGTCTCATTTTTTCACGAATTCTCTCTACAACAATTATAATATTTTATGGTTTTATATACCAATATGTTCATTATGATTATCATAAATAAAATAAGCGTCTATTGAAGAATTTTTTTTAATTTGCAAGTAGTCTATTATGCGCTAATTACATATACTTTATTTTATATAATACGGCCAGACAAATTAGTCCAATGAATGTCAATGCTATAATCTTAAATATGAAACTGGACTGTACAATATAAATCAATTGAATGATTCAATAATACAACTAATTAAAAATAAATATAAATACAATAGAGATTTTTAATTAAAACAATAAATGAGAAGTAAAGGCTAAATAAAAGTCAGTACTCTTATATAACGTAATATATGTATATCTATTTTAATATGTTTTTCTCTGCCCAGCAAATCATTATATATACATTATATCTTTTATTTGCAGTTAGTGAATCAAAGCAAAATAATAAGTAAATAATTGCAAAATAATATTCTTGTTTTTCAGGTTGTGAAAACAGCTGTGACATACTTTAATATGCTTTTAAATATAACCGATTAAATTTTCCTGATACAATATCTTTTTTCTTGTCATCAAAACTGTGACTATGTATCTCGTAAAGGTAATATTCATATCACGTATGTATGATATAGAACAATACAGAAATCTGATCAGATATAAAATGTACATATATATTTATATATATCCTTTATTTAAATATATTTCTTTATATATAAAAAGCGATTATTAGGAACTTTTTCGAAGTATGGCAAATTACACGTTTATAGAATTTGATAATTAATTAACCATTATTATATTATATTAAAATTATATCGCTTTATCTTTTTTACATAAATTATAATTCCGCTTTATGACAAAAAAAAACACTCAGTAGGAATGAAATAATAATCAAAAATATGATTTCATATTTATCAATTATAAACAAAAGCAGTACTACTTTATATTTATAATAATATGTAACTAAAGCAATGTGTCATATAATATAATAATTAGAATTATTCTTTAAAATAATTCTTAATTCTTCAAAATAATGTAATTTCTTCAAAATAATAATCTAAGTTTTACATCGCGTATTGATAAAATCACATTACGTGTGACAAAAATATGTAAAGTATAAAGAAATTAAATGCAATATGTTCATTCAATTAGATACATAGTTTATGTTATGTTATGTTCATTCAATTAGATAATATCCATATAAATGTAACTTCGATTTGAATATTACTTTATATAATTGAATTTATAATTTTTCTTCTGTAGAAATATTATTACATTTATAAAACTGTAAGAAAAATTAAGGAAATTGGTTTATCGAACTTAGGGTCCTTCGTTTACCATTCGCAACATTTATTAGTCTATATTATTAGTCTATATAATCGCAAGTTTTTTTTCCAACTATTTATATTCACAATTTTTTATTAATACCTAGTTAACCCTTTACGATCTTTTATTTGCCACAACATATTAATTATTTGTTTGATGGAAAGTGTCCCTTTAGTACTGACACGCACGCGCACTATTTCAAGTTATCTTCATGTAAAGGATACGTACTACGATCATTTGCCAACAGAAGCAATTAGTCTCGGTAGTTGTGCAGTACGGAAATGTTTGCATGCAACATAGCTACGTTGTCATGTCATGAAATTAAAAAGCATCGCAATACAAGAAACCGTAGAATCAATACGCTTGTCAAGATTTGTCAAGATGTACGCCAACAAGTATTACGAATGTGATATAGAATACGTTTTCGCGGTGAATCGCTTCTTTTTTCGTTTACTAGGAATATGGCCATTTGCGTGCGTGAATTCGTTTATTCCAAAGTTAGTGAAAACGGTCTCGCTGGTCCTTACGTGTTTCGTTTTTCTTTCCTGCGAGATAATCCCTATGATGCTCTATATATTCATGGTGCTGACGAATGTTCGCCTACGGTTACAAGTCGTGGGCAGTGCAATGTCAGCGATAATACACTTTATCAAGTACAATTACATGTTGCTTCGCAAAGATCAAATAAGAAACTGCTTGATGTTCATCGATGAGGATTGGCGAAACGTTGTTAGTCCGAGTGATCGCTTCTTGATAATCGTCAGAGTGAAAAATAGTAAACGTCTAATTGTGAAGTTTGTTTTATTTGTATATTTGACTGGCTTTATCTGTCGTGTAGTCTTGCCATTGTCAATAGGAAAGATCGTCACCTCTGAAAATATTACAATCAGACCTTTGCCGTCTGCGGCCTCTCTTGTTACATGACATGCAGCAAACTCCTTTTTATGAATTCATGTATTTCGTACAATTTTTTTCGGGACTTATAAAGTATGCGATTATAGTGGCAACTTTCGATTTCGTGATTGTCGTTGATCGTCTGTGAAATGCATTTTTGCGCGCAATCGGATATACTCATGAAGTTAATGAATAATTTTGTAAATGTCGAGCAGAAAATTTGAACAAATGGCTGAATGCTATTGTGGAGCATCAAATCAGAATAAGAAAGTGAGTCCTTTTTTATATGTAATAATTTCGCCCGTTTGTTGATTCGTTATTATAATTTTAACGATGAGATTATGATTAGAGATTATAACACTGTATTATATTTTGATATGAGATAATATATTCTACGTAAAATAAATAATTTGTTATGAATTTTTAAAAATATATGCCGAATTGAGAAATTTTTATTAAGGATAATACTCATAGCTTTGTCATTACATATTTCAGTTTCTTAAAATTGATATAAAATGCGAATTTTCGAATTTAATAGAAGTCTTGGCATTAAATATGTTGATGTCTCGCAGGATATGACATTCTTTTGGTACGCAATAATATTTATATGTAGCAAAGAAATTTCAGAGAAATATGATTTTATATATATGTAATGTGATAATATTCAGCGTTATTGTGTTTTAAAAAAAGTTAATAAAATAATTTAATTTACAGGGATGAGAAAATTATAATGTTATTTATATGTGCATATTTATTATGACATTAATAATGCTTTGTTTCAACATTCATTTACTGTTACGTAGGTAAGCAGATTATTGAACAGGTATGTATCATTGAGTTATTGTTCATCATAGTGACATTAATCGTAACGTCTAATAGATAACAAAGTGAATTATATGCGAGATATTATTTCCTTTATTCACATTGATGTTCGCATTATTGATGCAAAAAATTAATTTATAAAATTAGGAAGAAAAGGTAGCATGCACATTAGCATGAACTTCCGGATGACAAAGCGCGATCCATAATACTAATTACAATCATGTCGAATTCTTCGAAAAAACTCCCAGTTTATTGATCTTCCAAGGAAAGTTTATTGATCTTTCCTTTAAAACATTTGGTAATGTAAGTGATAACATGTTAGAAAAAAAATGTAAAGCAGATTTTTACAGAAATTTGTTATATTTTAAATTGTTAAGACGTCTGTAACATATTTAAACCTTCTTCATTCTTTTGGCAACTAAATTTAAATAACAAAGTACAACGCGAAACATGGCATTTAAATTTAAATTTAAATTTAAATAATTATCCATAGATACATAAGTGTAGCTTTTAATAAATATGTAATTAAAATAAATATGTGTTTAAATGATAATGGCATACAATTCTAAATTAGTTCTTCAATAAAATATTTGTTGTAAAAGGAAATGTAGGAGCACAAAATCTATTCAAAAATTAAAATACTTATTGATGTCTATGTATAAAACGCAAAAGCTTTTAGTTACCACAATGTTGCAGCTCCGAAGAGTATGAATTACAACAGAAATATTAGCAAAGTCAAATGTGATTACTCTTCAGAAAATTGGAAAACTTGATCGGCATATCGAAATACTCTTCGTGGAAACGATTTGCCACTTTGATTTTCTGCTTCGCACGTAACTACAAATTAAAACCTTACTTTCCTACTTTAAACAGTTATACTAGTATATGATAAAATACTGCATGTACAAATCTCGTGTTTCATTTTTATTTATCCCATTAATGTTGTTCAGAAACATCACGGGTATTATTTATTAAACTTTAAGCAAATCAAAGTACTCTATATATAATCGGGGAAAACTATTGTCAGCGGTCAATGTCCGACAAAAAGTAATCTTAAGTTTTAATACAGGAAGAAAAGTTGAAACCCAGCGGCTGTTCCTAGTTCTTTGAAAAAAAATATACACGTCAACGAATAAAAATACTATTCGCGGAAAGCAATCCTAACCCTCGGTGAACAAGTTGACTTGAAAACTCTTCTGCTTTCAAACTGTTCACACAACATTTTAATGTTTAAAACGCGCAAGCGCAAGCGGACAGTTGTTTACTTTATTGACAGTTCTTATTTGCAGCGATCAGTTGCTATTCAGCTTCCGTAGAGATTTCATTCAAGACCGGTAAAAAAAAATGTTGCATAACCAGCATTACAAAGACGACATGATTTACATTACACGATTGACGCGTCAGGTTTTAAGCTTGCTCGGAGTCTGGCCGTCCTACGACAGAAAAAGATCTACCGGCGAGAGTATCTGGAAATATTTCTTAATCTCCATGTCTTACATTCTTCTCTACTGCGTCTTGATCCCCGGGAGTTTCTTCTGGATAATTGAGAAGAGAACGCGCGTCAGAGTCCAAACGATCCCTCTGCTTTTCTACGGCTTCATGGCCAGCGGTAAATACGGCAATCTTATATTTCGCGAGAAAAATATCAGGAAGTGCTTAAAACACATTGAGGAGGATTGGAGGATCGTAAACAACATGGATGCGCGAAGTACAATGATCGAATCGGCGAATATCGGAAGACGCTTGGTCACGCTTTGCGCGGTCTTCATGTACGGCAGCGGACTCTCCTTTCGATCGATCCTGCCGTTCGCCAAGGGAAAGATCGTCACCGCGCAAAATATTACGATCAAACCCTTGCCTTGTCCGGCTTATTTCTTTTCCTTCGATATACAAGTCAGCCCCTTTTACGAGTTGGTCTTTGCAATACAATTTTTATCTGGGATAGTCACTTACTCGATAACAATAGCTTTATGTGGCCTTGCGGCCGTCTTCGTGATGCATGCCTGCGGCCAGCTGAAAATTTTGGTGGATCTGATGAGAAATCTCGTCGAGGACCAGTGGGAAGAAAAAGAAGACGTGGACAGGAAATTGGCTAGAATGGTCGAACATCAAATAAGAATTCGAAGGTAAGAAATATTTTTTTTATTAAAACTATATACAAAATGTATGGAGTGATTCAATATTTATTTGCTAATTGATGGTTAACAATATATGGTTAACAATATATATATATATATATATATATATATATATATATATATATATATAGTAGTAGTAGTTAGTTTATTTTCTCATTTTCCGAATGTGTTCGTTGGGTACGATATTTCAGTTTTTTGCAATTGGTAGAAAATACTCTACAACAGGCATGTTTAATAGAGTTGTTGGGGTGCACGATGATAGTCTGCCTTCTAGGATATTTTATTATAATGGTTCGTAATTTTATTTATCTGTGAGTTTCAATACCAAAGTGCGAAGAAAAAATGTTTCGTGCAGAAATGTGATATTTATAGGAATGGGAGAATAGCAATGCGGTAGCTATGTGCTCCTACTTTATAACAGTTACATCTCTGATGATAAATATGTTCATGTTTTGTTACACCGGTGAACAACTTTCCGTTCAGGTATGTTTATCCGTTTTTTTTTCTGATATCTGAGACTATCTCGTGTGATCATCTTATATACAATGAAACGTGATAATGCTGTATGTGTCTTTTTAGCGAGATAATATTTATAAAGAGGTTGAAAATATTTTCAAAATGTTTTTAAATAGCATTTAAATTTACAAAATTTCACTACGTGTACTTGATAATATTAATAACAGGCGGAGAGGGTAGCTAGTGCATCTTGCGAGCTTGAGTGGTATCGTCTTCCGGACAAGAAAGCGCGAGGGATTGTGCTAGTGATAATCATGTCGAATTTGCCTACTAAGGTCACCGCTGGGAAAATCATGGAGTTGTCATTCAAGACATATGGCGATGTAAGAATATTCGAAAGCACTCATTCATGTCTTCTGAGATCTGCAATTAAATTAAATTATTAGTTAAATACGCCGTTCAATCATTATTATCGTTGAAAATAATAAGTGACACTTAAATTGTTAATACAACTTTTGATTTTTAAAAATAAAGTATTAATTTTGCAAAGACGTCAGTCAAATATTATTCCTATTATATAATTTATCAATATGTCTAATTCACGTATTATTTAATAAATAAATTTTTTTCATCAAATTAATAATAAACGTGTTATTATTTTAGTACATAACATTAAAGTGTATCATTATAATATGAAACAATTCAACAAGTAATACAACTTAGCAAAAATAAATTGTACGTATAAATTCATGTATGTTATATTTTTTATTTGCATTCAATAAATATTAAATGAAATGTCATTTCATTACTATGTCGAACCATTATAAAGATAATTATTGGATATTATGTTTCTTTTTTTCAGGTCGTGAAAACAGCAGTAACATATTTTAATATGCTTCTAAATGTGGCCGACTAAATGTTTTTGCTATTTAATATATCTGTTCTTGGAATTACAACTACAAATGCAACATAATGGTAACATCGTATCGTGTATGCTCGTGATATAGGTGTGTCAAATACAGATACTTGATATGATGGTATGATGTACATATGCATATTTATATATATTCTCAATTTAAATTTATTTCGTTTACATATAAAAAATATTTAAGAAATCAGTAATATATATTACATCGTATATCAATAATACAACTGTCAAAATTGCATTGTCAGACAAGTTAAGATATCGATATTGTTCGCATAATTGTTATTGTCATTGATTAGTAAGGTAAAGATAACGCTGTAATGATAATGGTCATGGCAAAAATCGTTGTAACGATTATGCTAATGATAATTATTATTATCATTAATTAGTAATGATAATGATAATCAGAGAAAGATATGAAAGTGAGACATTCGATTTTTTTTTCATTTTTATTAAGCACGAGAATAAAAGAAATAATGTTATTTTTTTACTTACTAAATGGCACTCTACACTAACTTTCTACTACATACAAGATAAAATTTCCTGAGAAATACGTAAGCAAAGTTGGCTTGAAAGCCTCACTTTACCATATATAACTTTTCATCTTTTTAAAAGTCAACCCTCGCATTCAAGTTCAAGTTTAAAACAGGAAGACTGCAGCACACGACGATTATTTCAAAAAGTTTCTTCTTATGTCGTCATAGCATTTTGATGTGAAATATTGATGTTCAAAAGAGGCACGTGCGCACAGCGGTTTTCGCATGCGTACAGTCACTTTCAGCCCTATAACGATCAGTAGCGATCGAGTTTGCAGCTTGCGAGCATTGCAAATATTAACAATTAACCTTTTGTTCTCCATCGGATGAGAACTCCTTTAGTACGCTTTTAAATTCCCTTGTAAGATACCACGATGGAAAATCTCATTTTGGAGAAGCACCCGAACGAAAATTACAAGCAAGACATAAAATACGTTATCAAACAAAATCACATTCTTCTACGAATACTCGGCATTTGGCCTTTGCTCGAGAGAGACCTGTCCGTTTATGAGACGATCTGTAAGATCCTACTTATAATCATTTGCTGTACCCTCATTTGTTTCGAGGGTATTCCCAGTATGCTGTACTGCCTACTCGTCCCCGAGGGAGAACCGGGTTCGAAATTAAAGATGATCGCTCCTACGGTCTACTCATTCACCGCGCTCGCCAAATACGGCGCTCTCATTGTTTACGAGAATGAGATCAGGAGTTGCTTAAGGCACATAAAAGACGATTGGAGATTCGTCGCGATTGTGTCGAACGCGAGGGACATCATGCTGGAGAAGACGAAGGTGGCGAGGAGCATGTTCACTATCTGCTGTGTCTTCTTGTACTGCGCCGGTCTCTCTTATCAAACGATCGTGCCATTATCGCGGGGAGGAATCGTTACCCACGATAACGTTACGATCAGACCGTTGGCTTACGCGGGTTATTTCGTTCTGTTTGACGAGCAGCGCAGTCCCGCTTACGAGATCGTGTTCACGCTGCAGTTCTTTGGCGGATTCGTCATGTATTCCGTCACGATCGTGACATACGGACTCGCTGCGCTGTTCGTAATGCACGCATGTGCGCAGATGAAGATTTTGATGATGCTAATGGAGGATCTTGTCGACGAGCGAGTGTGCAAAGAGAAAACTGTGGATGAGAAATTAATAGCGGTGGTTGAGCGTCAAATAAGGATACGAAAGTGAGATGTTCGCTTTTTTTCATTTTTGTCAGTTTTACATTCTCACTTTGTTCCGCATGAGCGATATTACTGCTTTCAGTTTCTTGTGTCTGGCGGAGGACACGCTGCAAAAAAGTAGTTTGTTTGAGATATTAGGAAACACTATAATGATGTGTTTCGTGGGATACTGCATCTTGATGGTAGGCAGAACGTTAAAATTATGATACGTCACGGTGAATACAATTTTCCATTGCATTACATTACCGTCATATATATATATATATTCATATCACGTTTATTTAGCGATAATTTGTTGCAAAAATATAACTGCTGAGTTGAACATGCAGGAGTGGCGAGACGGAAATACTGCAAATGTGTGTACCTTTCTCGTTGCCTTAGCTTCCGACACAGTTAACATTTTTCTTCTCTGCTATATCGGCGAACATATTACAGCTACGGTAAGTTTATCATGTATGATCGTTTAATTCTATTATGATATACTTCAGTTATATTAATATTCCGTCATTCCCGTTATTTTTAAACATGATGAAATATGACATAAGTAAGAACAATTCCGTAAAAATTTATCGATAGGCAGACGAAGTAGCTTTGAAGACAAATATGCTAGAATGGTATCGTCTTCCAGCGAGAAGAACACGTTATATGGTGTTGATAATAATTATGTCACATATTCCATCAAAAATTACAGCAGGAAAATTTATTGTTCTCTCCTTAAAAACATTTGGCGATGTAAGCGTAACTATTCTATTTACATAATAGTATTAATAAAACATAATGGTATTTGAAACATAATTGAATGCTTATAACTATATTATGTCTTTATTATTAAAAAATATAAATTTTACAAGAAACATTTATTTATGTTTTAGGTGATGAAGTCAGCTGTTGTGTATTTCAATATACTTCGTACAGTTGCCGATTAAATGATGATTATCAACACAAAAATTTGTTAATTCTTCAGGTGTTAGAAAGTAAGTTAATAATTAGATAATACTACGAGAGTTGCATGGAGAAGTACAAAATGATAGATTTCTCGCAAATATTATACTTATGTATGAAATATCTAATAGTCTTTATTTTGAAAAAAATAAGATATTTTGTAAAATATATCATTCGATTGTTATTTAATTATGACTGACCTCGTGTAAAAGTGATTTTACAAAATGGATTGATCGCATCTGTATTTACAAAAGAACTCTCATAAAATATAATCAAAATTGTTGACTTCATGGTCAACAGTTCTAACATCTGCGATCATGATATTAGAATTTAGAAAAGAAAAAAGTTAGATGTAATGATTTTCCTGATCACTGCAAAAGTCAATGCACGTAAACGGATAAGAATACGTTTCATAGAAAACAACTTCATCCCCCATCGAACAACTGCTTTTGCAAAGTTTTCTGTTTTCGATTTCTGTTCTTCACGCAACGTTTGAATCTTTAACAAACGTATGCGCGATGAGTTGACTTCACAGATCAGTCTTGCCCTTCGATGACTGGTTGTGATTCAGTTCGCGTTCAGATTTCACATTAAACGCATGTTACGTAACGAATAAGACCCGAGAGTATCGCAAAACACTCGTCGAAATCCACAGAGAAATGCCGCGAAATGAGCATCATCAGAACGATATTTTATACAACTCGCCATATTTTGCTCGCGCTCGGTGCGTGGCCGTCGATCAGTAAAGAAAGATCCGTATATCCGAAAGCTCACAATCTTTTATTCATCTTTATATCCTATACTCTTTTGTCTTGCGATCTTATACCCGGTATCACTTACTGGTTGATGGAGGAAACGATATGCGTTCGACTGCAGATGATTATTCCTCTCCTCTACGATCTCATGTCCGCCAATCAATACGTATCTTCATATTTCGCTGTGATCAGCTCATGCGATGTCTGAAGCACGTCGAGGAGGATTGGAAAAACGTCCTCAACGCAGATGTACGAAATATTATGCTGAAATCCGCGAGGACGGGGAAGCGTCTGATTACGATTTGCGGATTATTTATGTACAGCGACGCTACCTTCTGAACGATTCTGTCATTGTCCCATGGAAAGACCGTCATCAGAACACCACGATAAGATACTTCGCCTGTCCGGGTTACTTCTTTTCCCTCGATGTGCAAGTCAGCCTCGTTTATGAGATAGTTTTTATAATCCAGTGTCTAACAGCATTTGTTACAGTTTCGGTCGTGACAAGTGCATGCGGACTGACGACGATTTGTATGGTGCATGTTTGCGGATTTGCAGCTGAAAATCTTGATCGATTTTATGAGGAATCTCGCACAAATACAAAGGCACGAGGAACGTGAAATAGATAAAAAGCTGGCCGAAATAGTTGAACATCAAATGAGAATACGCAAGTAAGTTCACGATTTGTCAGAATTATTTATGCTTTTAATTATAAACCATATTAATTAAATTAACATTTATGAATTTTTTGTTCATTGTAAAAATTAACTTTTACTCATTTTTCTCTATTGAGATTTATCCTCCTTATCTACTAGTTCAAATAACGTTAATTTGTTGCTATTATTAATCGTATTTCAATTTTTTGCACTTGATGCAGTGTACCTTGCAGGAGATATATTTGATGGAAGTATTGGTGAACATAATAACAATCTGTCTTTTGGTATATTTTATGGTTAGCGGTTAGTAAGTTGGTTAATAAATGTTTAATAGTAAAACTGGACTTAAATATTTGAGTAAATAAAAAGTGAAAGAAAACTAAGATTCAATAGTTACATAATACAGAAATTTTATTTGATTGAATTTTTTTTAATTTCGTATTTTCAAGATGATGCATATTTCGTCGACAAACAATTCTTTCAGATTTTATATTTAACGAATAATGATTTAATTATAAAATAATTATGTATAATGTTCCTATTTATGGGACTGGCAAAATAGAAATATAACAATTTTATGCACTTATATGATAAGCATTATAAACGTAACAATCCACATGTTTCTATTTCGTTATACTGGTGAACAACTTACTGACCAGATATAGCTCACGTGTTCGATCTTACAAGCAAATAATAATAATAAAGATAATAATAAAATATAATATACAAAAATTAGAATGATCTATTTTAAAATATTTGCAATTAAAGTTATATTAAATTTTATGAAAATTTCATAAAAGGCAATGCATACTAAAAATAGATTTTGTAAAGAAAGTCTTTATGAAAATATTGCAAAAGAATATGAAAATTTATTACATTATCCTGAATTAACAAATAAATATTTAATAAAAATAAATTTTGTGATCCTTGCTTTTAATGATGATTACTACTAATACTAAATTTAATGGCAGGCAGAAAAAGTAGCCACCGTATCTTGCGAGTTCGAATGGTATTGTCTTCCAAACAGAAAAGCACGTAGCTTTATATTGTTAATGATTATGTTTAATGCAACGACCAAAATTTCTGGAAAATCGATCTCTCACTTAAGATATGGAGATGTAAACTATCTAACGTATCTAACTTATTAATTTTAAAATAATTAATTTTTTTTATATAAATATCAAAATATAAAAAATAATCAATCAAGATAATTAAGAAAAAATATCAAAGTAAAAAATATAATAAGAAAAAATATCAAAGCCTACAGTTTTTAAAATATACCCGTTTAACCTGTTGCATTAATTGTTATAGAACGATATGAATTGTTTTATATTTATAAAACAATTTATATTTATAACAATAAGATAATCTTTAGTTACAATTTTTTTTCATATCACTTTTATATATGGTTTTCATTATGGTTTATATTAATTTATTATATTTTAATATGGTTTAGGAAGAACAAAGAATAGAACAAAACAATTAAACATGTTTTAGGTCATAAAAATAGCTGGTACATATTTTAACATGCTCCAAAATGTAGTTGAATGAATATTTAAATTTTAATAGTCAAAATTATAATGTAAGTTGTACTCAATAGAGTCGTATCGTGTGAAATAATTGCATAAATAAGTCAAATACAAAATCTTAATGTAATGTAAACATACATGAAATATTTTTTAATATACATATTTAATATTTTATTTAACAATTCGTACTGTAACGTGTTTATTAACAGATATTTTTATTTACTAAATAAATAGCATATTTGTTATTTTCCGTTTTAAATTAAAAAAATATTCACATGATAAAAAAACTATTATCCTTTCATTACTATTATGCTGCGATTGCAAGTTATGATACAGGAAGATACAAAGATAAACATGATTGTTTTCCTAGTTGCTTCAAACAGCAATAAATGGTTAAGAATACTTTTTCTAAGACAATCTTATTTCTATCGACAAGCAACTCGCAAACTCTACTTCTAATCTCTGTCCCTCACGCAACGCATAAATTCTTAACGCATGCAAACGTAGAACTATTTGTGAGTTTTCCACAATCAATTTTTGTTTTAAATAATCATTCAAGTAATTTATGACACGAATTGAAATATTAAATGATTAAGCATATATTTTTAATAAAGAAATAGTTATTAAGTAGTATTATAATATGCGCCAATATCTGAATAAAAAAATATTTAAATTTTTACTTTAATTTTTACTAAAATTTTAACATCATATGTATCAATGAATTAATAATTTTAAAAATCAATAATACATAAATGAAATATAAATATAGCTTATACGTTACGTAAATGCATTATACCGTATACATATATATTTTTATTATCTTGCATAACGAAGAAATTATTTTTCTTGGCAAATACGATATTGTGAGACAATACTATGACTACGAAGCAGGAAGAATCAAAGTCGTACGCAATAAATTTCCTGGCTATTACGCGAGTTAGGGAAAGTCAGCAGATAAAAATACATTTCACGGGAAACGATCCCGACTCTTGATGATATATTCACTTTCAAACTTCATCCGTTTCGAGCATACTTAAGAATTCCGAACGTACGTTATTAGCCATTCGTTTCACGTGACTTGTCAATCGTTCGGAACGCAAGCGCACTTACGTACCGAGTTATGCTCGGATTGAAGCACAACGCGGTACGCGCAGTGATGAAAAAGCACGCATCTCTGGCGTTACGCGTTACTTTTTGTCACGCACATTACATTTCTTACGACAAAGCCGATAAAGTTCACATTAGAAATGTATCCAAATAAGAATTATGAAAACGATATAAAATATACCATACAACTAAACCGCTTTATTTTCCGTCTGTTGGGTATCTGGCCGGAATCAGAGCCTTCGTTCTTCGAAAATCTCAAGAGGATTTTGCTGATACTGGGTTGTTATTTCCTTCTCGCCTCCGAACTGATCCCGACGATTTTACACATAATACTCGTAGAGAAACGAGCCCGCGTCAGATTGAAGCTCATATCGTCCGTAATGTTCACGGTACTGGCGGTCCTTAAATATAGCAGCCTAGTGCTCAGCAAGAATCAAGTGGGCGACTGTTTGACGCGAGTGAAAGATGATTGGCGAAACGTCGTAAGCGCGAACGCTCGTAATTCCATGATCGAAAAGGCCAGGACTGCGAGACGTTTGCTCATTCTGTGTGGCATATTTATGTACATCTCCGGCTTGTATTTTCGTACGATCGTGCCGCTGAGCAAGGGAAAGTCTGTCACCGATCAGAACATCACTATCAGGCATTTGCCGTGTCCGAGCTATTTTGTTTTCTTCAATGGACAGATCAGTCCCGGGTATGAGATCATGTTCTTCATACAATTTTTCTCCGGATTCATTAAGTATACCATCACAGTGGCGATCTGCAGCCTCGCCGCACTCTTCGCTATGCATATATGTGCACAGCTGGAAATACTGATGATGCTAATAGATAACTTGATAGACGAGACAGAAGAAAAAAATTTGAATGGAAGGTTGGCCGTGACCGTGGAACATCAAATTAAAATGCGGAAGTAAGTCTTGTTATATCTATCTTTTATATTAATTATGTCTCTATCTCTCTATATGTCTATATCTCTGTTTAGTCTTATCATTTGTTATCGAACTAAATATTTGCAAAATCGATTAAACGTTGCAAAAAGTTAAGACGTCACATTAATCACGTCATTTAAACGTGCTGAATCGTTTTTTGTGTTTTATCACTAATAATAAGACACTTTTTCTTAATACAATGGCTAAAAATTTCTAATAAAAATTTGTGCGCGTCCCGTTATAGTTTTATCCGATTGGTGCAGAACACTTTGGAACATACGAGCTTATTAGAAGTAATGGGATGTACGATAATTGTATGTCTCCTAGGACATGATATCATCACGGTGGGCCTAAATAATTGTGCAGTGCCTAAATAATTGCTTGCACGATTTTATATTTAAAGTATACGCTGTTTTATTACGTTGAAACTATACATTATCTTGCACATGCGAGATTAATACATATAATTATCGATCTTGTAGGAGTGGGAAGATCAAAATGTTATATCAATGTGCTCGTACCTTATTCTACTCACGTCAATTGGATTCAACATTTTTATATTTTGCTATATCGGTGAACAACTTTCGTTAGAGGTATAAATTTGTTTTAAATAAAATGATTGTAACAAAATCACGTAGATAACGAAACAGAGGATATACGGACACTCTTTAATTTTTATTCTATGTTTATAATTTGTTAATGTAACCAGGGAGAGAAATTAGCATTAATAGTGTGTACATTTGCTTGGTACCGTCTTCCGAATGAAAAAGCAAGAGCATTAATATTAGTCATAGCCATGTCGATTGTTCCGATGAAGCTTAGAGCCGGGAAATTCTTCGATCTTTCCATCAGAACTTTCGGTGATGTAAGTAATGGGTTTACTAATAAAGAACAGTTAACAAAGATATATATTATATTCTAGGTTGTTAAAACGGCTGTAACGTATCTTAATATTATTCGAAAAATGATGGAATAGTAATTCAACAAAATTATCCGCGTATTTCTTTGTAGACATAGAGATGTAGTATTTTCTAGATAAATATTAATTACTTAATATAATTAAAAAATGTTATATAATGCATATTTTCTCTTATTTCCATTACTTGCCATAAAGAAAATAAAATATTTTGTGAATAATATAAATCTTCTCAACTTAAATATATTTCATTTATAAAAATAATGCATTATATGAGATACATATCTTATTTCTGATTTTCTGTGCACCAGAAACATCTGGATCATATATAAAAATGTCATGCAAGTTCTCTCAAAATATTTGTTTGATTATCTTAATTCCTGAAAAACAGATGATTTAGTTTAATGATTAACTTTTGGATTTTATTTGCCGTTTATATTTTGTAATATAATTAAGAAGGGAATTATAGCGTCTCCTATAATTATTTATATCCTTTGTTCAACTGCATCTCTTACTTCATCTTTCACAGAAAAATAGTTCATTGAATAAAGCGATCAACGCACTATTGAAGGATCAATACGGCATCCGCGGTTTTTCCCGCCGCCGGACTTGCTACTTTTTTCTCGCTATTTTCTCATGTTTTCTTCATGTCGCTAGACTTCTCGTCGCGATACACCCTTCCTCGAACACGAACATGCCCAACCAACTTTTATAACTTTCTCGCGATTTACAAGAGGAAAGGAAGATTGCAGATAATAATCGTTGTATCTGCTGTCCCTCACCTCTTCCGCTCTTGTCGAAGACGCAAGCGCAGCTTGCCGCACGCACTTTCCGCTTCATGTGCGTCGAGATCAGTTTCACGTCGGCAACGTCAGGATCAAGTCAGGATCCTCAAATCATGCGCGTGAATATCCTGCATCACGACGATATCACACGTACCGTTCACGTCACACGTGGTGTCCTAAACTTAATCGGCGTGTGGCCGTCACCCAGCGACTCGTTCGCTCTCAAAATCGTCCGGACGAAAATGCTCAGGATTTTCTGCCAGGCCTTGCTCTATTTCATCTTTGTGCCGGGTATATTAAAAATGTTCCTCAAAGAATCAAACGCGCGTCGTCGCCTCAAAATGATCGGTCCCATGTGCAACTGCCTGATGGCTGTGCTGAAGCACACGGTGCTGATTTGTCGTAGCGATCAAATCAAAGATTGCATCGAGCACATCGAAGAAGACTGGAGAACAGTGAGCCTGGCAGAGGACTGCAAGATTATGAGGGGCAACTCAAGAATCGGACGCAGCCTCGCGATCCTTTGCGTGGCTTTCGTGTACGGCAGTGGATTTTCGTATCGCACGATCGTGCCGTTAACGCGTGGAGTCATCGTCACGCCGCAAAATGTGACAATTAGACCACTGGGATTCGACGGTTATTACATATTCATTGATCCACAAAAGACGCCGGCTTACGAGATCATCTTCACCATCCAGTTTCTCTCCAGATTTGTACAGTACTCGGTAACCAGCGGAGCCTGTAATCTGGCGGCTCTCCTGGTGTTGCATGCCTGTGGCCAACTGAAGATTCTCATCACCAGGATGGAGGATCTCACGCACGCCAAATACTTCTCTGATAAAAACGCCAACAGGAAACTGGCGGCTGTCGTAAGGCAACACATCAGAATTAAAAGGTAATACGTCATTACGTCAAACGCGTTGTGTGCTAAAAAATTGATTAATGTACTACTTCGTAAACTCAAAGACAAAGTTACTAAATAAAAGGTGTTAATGTTATCTAGTTTTTTGAGCAAAGTAGAAGACATTTTGCAATACACATGTTTGGTGGAAGTAGTTGGATGCACGTTTATCTTGTGCCTTCTGGGATATTACATAATAATGGTACACAAAATAATTAATAAACTTAATGTAAATAAAAAAATATATTTTAATATAGCGACAATTATAATTCTAATGTTTTGTAGGAGTGGGAGAATAATGATGCGATATCCTTGCTAACATATACCATACTTCTTTTAACATCTTCATACTATGCTTCATCGGCGAACTCCTCATGGATCAGGTATAGATCGATAATTGTTATTTAAAATTTTAAAATAATAAAAACCGTCGATCAATTATTTCTTCGTATTATAGAGCATGAAGGTGTACATTACTTTCTGTACTCTCGACTGGTATCAAATTCCGCACAAAACCGCTCGCGGTCTCGTTTTGATAATCGCAATGTCTAGTATTCCCATCAAACTCACTGCCGGAAAATTTATGGATTTATCTCTCAACAGTTTTGGCGCCGTAAGTGCGTTTCAACCTCATATATTTTTTTCTTTTGAAATACCACAAAAAAAATTATACTACTCTTTTAATCACTCGAGATGATAAATCGTCATTAAATATGCAATTGCGTAATTTTTAGATCATGCGGACATCGGCCGCGTATCTAAATATATTGCGTACAACTAGTATTTAAAGCTTAAAGTAGTTTGTTAGATAACAAAATTCATCTAAGAAGAAAAGTTTCAAGTAGAAGCTTGAAATCTGCGGATTTCGGTTAAATGTAAATAGAATTGTCTTTAGCATAAATCAACGCAAACAAAAAATTTCTGAATTCTTCTGTCATTATGTTCCTACAAATTAAAAGCGGAATGTATAATTTTTATACATTCATATATATATTTTTATAATTATATTGTTATACCGCGCTCTTGTACTTTATAATTAAAGAAATTTCCGTAATATGACAAATTCTTTAACTATCAGAATGATGTATCCGTGCAAATTATAATATTTTACTTACAATGATATACTACATGTGTAGCGATATGCAGCACAAAGTACACCTGACGTTTCTGTCTTGTAAGTTTAAACTTTAGAAAATCGTATAATTCCATGCATTGCCCGGCGATCTCTTTCTCTTTGCTCGTAAACGTTACGTTTATCCGGCAATTTGACACATGAAATTCACAAGCCCTTTCGTATAAGCCCGTCATTATGCGCAGACGTTTTGTGCACGCAAGCGCGCCGCACACTTCATTTTTACTGTAGAGAGGCCACCTATTACCATATACATCTGTCCAGTCAGGCCCGAACTTCTAATGCTGTCTGACCATCTGCGCTATTCGTAAACTCGAAATACGGAAACGCTATTGTCAGAATTGACGGAAGCTCTCAAAGTCCTTCGCAGAACTAAGCGAGCGCGAAATTTGCGGTCAAAAATACAACCGCGTGTTAAATTCCGACTTAAACATAAAAATAACGTTAACACCGTCCAAATGAAGCTATATGCGAAAGACTCATTGAAAATGAACAGTCGCGAAAATGATTTTAATTACGCGGTGCAAGTGACTCGCGTAATCATGCGAATGATCGGCGTGTGGCCGATTTCCAGATACGCTTCCAATGTGGAAAGAATCGTGATCCGATTACAAAACGTTTTCTGTTACTTTTTATTCGCGTTTATCCTCGTGCCGGGTCTTCTGCTGATATTCCTGAAGGAACGTGACTTCAAACGTAGAGTGAAAATATTCGCGCCACTTTTGAACTGTTGGATAAGTTGCATGAAGTACAGCTTGTTCATACTTCATGCGAGAGAGATTCAATTTTGCCTGAAGCAAGCGCAACAGGATTGGAGGGACATAATCGATTGGCATAATCGGAAGGCGATGCTGATCAAGGCTAAAATAGGTCGGAAATTCGCAATTTGCTCCGCCGCCTTCATGTACGTCGGTGGATTATCTTATCGTATCATTGTACCGCTCTCGAAGGGACGTATGCTCACACCGATGAATACCACAGTGAGAGCACTGGCATGCCCGAGTTACTTCATCAAGTTTGACGAACAGCTTTCGCCAGCATACGAGATCGTTTTTACCCTGCAATTCTTCGCAGGACTGGTCACCTACTCGGTAACATGCAGCGCAGCCGGATTGGTCGCGTTCTTCGTTATGCATGTTTGTGGACAGATGAGCATTTTAATCAGCAAGTTGCAACATCTTAATGATATAGCAAAGTCCGAGGATCGAACCATTGCGATATTACTGGCTGATATCGTGGAGCATCAGATAAAAGTGAAAACGTAAGTCTACAAGAATAAGCGAGATGAGAAGAGTCCTTATGTAAATAGGTCTTTTTAATTTTGTTAAGTGCAAATTTGTGTAACAAAATTTATATAGAATTAATGTGTCTCTATCGTCATTACAATAATCTTTTTCATGTTATGCTGAAAATAATTTATTGAAGAAAATATTCAGATTAATTTATAAACTAGAAATAATACAATATTACAGTTTCTTTCATTTTAACGAGTTTTGTTATATTCTACAATGTAATGCTATAAACATAAAATTACATATAAATATTATATGTATTCACTAAACAGACAAATTGTTCGTTTACAGTTTTTTGAAACAAGTAGAGGAAAGTATGCGAGATGTATGGTTAGTGGAAATAGTGGGCTCTACGATATTGTTATGCTTTGCGGGATATCATGTAATTTTGGTAATCATGATGAACATTTTTTATGAAAGTTTTATCTATAATAACTTAATAATTCAACTAATTCTCCTATAAAAATAAAAATATAGTTCGCATAAAATAAAAATTAAAATAATATTTCAAATATTATTATCTTATTCTGCAGTATTAATTTTATAGGAGTGGGAAAATAGCGATTCCACAGCCATGTTAACTATATTTGTAATATTTACATCTCTCACTTTTTCTCTTTTTACTAACTGCTACGTTGGTCAACTGTTGACAGATGAGGTAGCAAGCATTATTCACATTAATTGCTATAAAAATTAGAGATCAATGAATATTGTTCATAAAATGTTCACAAAATATATTTATATTAATCACAACAGAGCATCAAAGTTGGATCGATGACGTCTGCAATAAATTGGCATCATCTTCCCCATAAAAGGGCTCGTAATTTAATACTGATAATGGCGGTTTCTAACATTCCGGCAAAAATCTCAGCAGGCAAAATGATAGACATGTCTTTACCTACGTTTAGTAACGTAAGTATAAAAGCTTATTTTTGTTTACCAGTAGTAAATTACACATCTGTTTCATTATTTCATAGATTATTAGAACATCGATGGCGTATTTTAATCTGCTGCGAAAGTTTATTACTTAATTTTGACGAAATAATTATTATAACAATAAAATAATTCAACTATTGATCTGTAATCAACACTTAGAACAAACGAATAAGAGCATAGCTAGTATTTTCCATTTTAATATTTTAAGTTTTTATAATATTAGAACCTTAAAAGTCAAGAAATGTTAAATAATAATTTTTTGGCAATAATTGTCCGAAATTATTGATTTAAAAAATTAATAATTGCAAGTTTAACGTTAACTTAATTAACAATTCTATCGCTATGTGCTATTAGATAGACATGATTGTTTTCTAGTTGCTTTAAACAATAATAAATGAATAAGAATACTTTTCCAAAGACAATCTTATTTCTATCGACAAGCAATTCGCAAACTCTACTTCTAATCTCTGTTCCTCACGCAACGTTGAATTATTAACGCATGCAAAAGAAGAACACTGTGTTTGTGAGTTTTCCATCATCATTCTTTTTTTAAAATCATTTTTTAAAATCTTTTTTAAATAATTATTCATGATTTATGATATGAATTGAAAATTATTAAGTAATATTAAATGATTAAGCATATTTTCAAGAAAGAAATTTTAGTTATAGTAATAATATGCACTAACATCTAAATAAAGAATCTAAATAAAAATATTTAAATTTTTATTTTAATTTTTACAAAAATGTTAACATCATATATGTCAGTAATTTTAAGAATCAATAATACATATATTAAAGTTTATATGTTACATAAATGAATTATATCATGTATTTTTATTATCTTGCATGACGAAGATATACTTTACAATATCTTTATATCTTTATAATTTTTATACATTCATATATATTTTTATACTTATATTGTTATATAGCTCGTTTTCACTTTAAACAAATTTCCGTAATATGATAAATTTTTTAACTGTTAGAATGATGTATACGTGTAAATTATAATATAATAATTTTACTTACAAAGATGTACTACATGTGTAGCAATATGCAACACAAAGTACACCTGACATTTCTGCCATGTAAGTTAAACTTTAGAAAATCGTATAATTCCATATATTGCCCGGCGATCTCTTTCTCTTTGCTCGTAAACGTTACATTTATCCGGCAATTTGACACATGAAATTCACGAACCCTTTCGTATAAGCCCGTCATTATGCGCAGACGTTTTGTGCACGCAAGCGCGCCGCACACTTCATTCTTACTGTAGAGAGGCCACATTATCATATACATCTGTCCAGTCAGGCCCGAACTTCTAATGCTGTCTGACCATCTGCGCTATTCGTAAACTCGAAATACGGAAACGCTATTGTCGGAATTGACGGAAGCTCTCAAAGTCCTTCGCAGAATTAAGCGAGCGTAAAATTTGCGGTCAAAATTTTAATCGCGTGTTAAATTCCGGCTCAAGTAGAAAAATAACATTAACACCGTTCAAATGAAGCTATTCGCAGAAGACTTGAAAACGAGCAGTCGCGAAAATGATTTTAATCACGCGGTACAAGTGACTCGCGTAATTATGCGAATGATCGGCGCGTGGCCGATTCCCAGATACGCTTCCAATGTGGAAAGAATCGTGATCCGATTACAAAACGTTTTCTGTTACTTTTTATTTGCGTTTATCCTCGTGCCGGGTCTTTTGCTGATATTCCTGAAGGAACACGATTTCAAACGTAGAGTGAGAATACTCGGGCCGCTTTTGAATTGTTGGATGGGTTGCATGAAGTATAGCTTGCTCGTATTTCACGCGAAAGAGATTGAATTTTGCCTGAAGCAAGCGCGACAAGATTGGAGGGACATAATCGATTGGCATAATCGGAAGGCGATGCTGATCAAGGCTAAAATAGGTCGGAAATTCGCAATTTGCTCCGCCGCCTTCATGTACGTCGGTGGATTATCTTATCGTACCATTGTACCGCTCTCGAAGGGACGTATGCTCACACCGATGAATACTACGGTGAGAGCACTGGCATGCCCGAGTTACTTCGTTATGTTCGACGAGCAGGCCTCGCCGGCATACGAGATCGTCTTTGTCCTGCAATTCTTCGCAGGACTGGTCACATATTCGGTAACATGCGGCGCGGCCGGATTGGCCGCCTTCTTTGTTATGCACGTTTGTGGACAGATGAGCATTTTAATCAGCAAGTTGCAGCATCTTAATGATATTCCCGAGGATATTCCAGAACCCGAGGATCGAGCCGTTGCGATATTATTGGCTGATATCGTGGAGCATCAGATAAAAGTGAAAACGTAAGTCTAGAAGAGCGAGAAAATCCTCATGTAAATTTTTTTAATTTTGTTAAGCACAATAATTATGTAATAAAATTTATATGATACAATTAATGTGTCTCTCTCATTGCAATAATTTTTTTTATTTGTACTGAAAATAATTATATTGAAGAAAATATTCAAATTAAACTTGAAATAATATCATGTTACAGTTTTTTTATTTTAGTGTGTTTTGTTACATTTTATAATATATGTTATAAGTATAAAATTGTATATAAATATTATAGTCATTAAATAGATAAATTGTTCGTTTACAGTTTTTTAAAACGAGTAGAGGAAAGTATGCGATATGTGTGGTTAGTGGAAATAGTGGGATCTACTATATTATTATGTTTTACGGGATATTATGTAATTTTGGTAATTATAATAAACATTTTTTATGAAGATTTTATCCATAATAACTTAATAATTCAACTGATTCTCGCATAAAAATAAAAATAAAAATTCGCATAAAATACTAATTGAAATAATTATTTAAATGTTATTATTTTATATTGCAATACTGTTAATTTTATAGGAGTGGGAGAATAGCGATTCCACAGCCGTGTTAACTATGTTTGTGATATTTACATCTTTCATTTTTTCTCTTTTTACTAACTGTTACGTTGGTCAATTGTTGACAGATGAGGTAGCAAGCATTATTCACATTAATTGCTATAAAAATTAGAGATCAATGAATATTGTTCACAATAAAATGTTCACAAAATATATTTATATTAATCACAACAGAGCATCAAAGTTGGATCGATGACGTCTGCAATAAATTGGCATTGTCTTCCGCATAAAAAGGCCCGTAATTTAATACCAATAATAGCGATTTCTAATATTCCAGCAAAAATCTCAGCAGGCAAAATGATAGAAATGTCTCTACCTACATTTAGTAACGTAAGTATAGAAGTTTATTTTGGTTTATCAATGTAAATTACACATGTTTCATTATTTCATAGATTATTAAAACATCGATGGCGTATTTTAATCTGCTCCGAAAATTTATTACTTAATTTTGTTGAAATAACTATTATAACAATAAACCAACTCGAATATTGGTCTGTAATCAACATTGTCATTGGAACAAATGAATAAAATAAGCATAGCTAATATTTTCCATTTTAATATTTTAATATTTTAATATTTTAAGTTTTACTTTTTTATAATATTAGAATCTAAAAGTCGAAAAAAGTTAAATAGTAATTTTTTGGCAACATTTGTCTGAGATTATTAATTGTAAAAATTAGTTATTGCAAGCTTAACGTTTGATTTAGTTAACAATTCTATCACTGTGTATTACTATTAATTCAATATAACCCTTGATTTAATACTTGTCGCAAGGCAGACTATTCGTACTAATATATAAGATGAGCATAGCTAATATTTTCCATTTTAATATTCTAAGTTTTCATAATATTAGAATCAAGCAAAATCAAGAAAAATTAAGTAATAATCCTTCGACAATAGTTATCTGAGATTATTGATTTTAAAAATTAATTATCGCAGGTTCAACGTTGCCATAATTAATAATTCTGCTACTACGTACTGCCGTTAGTTTAATATTACCCCCGACCTATGACCTGACACAAGGCAGACCTCGTACTTTCGCCGTCCTGTGTGAATCGATCCTATCCTGTAATTATCTCCGATCGGCAAAAAATTACGCGCATGCAACCCCTTCGTACCAAACTTCTAACTGCGCCGCGACCTTACTAATACAGTGACGGAGGTGATTCACCGACGCAGACGCGAGACGTGTGTAATGCAAGCTGGTAGGCTTCATTGTACTTTCATCTGTCAGTTGTAATCGCGCGACCGCTTCGCGAACAAGTGATCCAGGGAGAATCGGTTTTTCCCCTCTCGACTCATATTTATGTCATGATTGAACAAGCTTATCTACGGAATTCCAACTACGAAGACGACATTAGATACACCGTGCAAGTGCACAGACTGATCCTGGGATTGATTGGCGTGTGGCCAAATTTGGAACCTGGCAAATCTCAAAAACGGACGACACTTTTAAAAGGATTCCTCAGAATCGTGTGTTGCTTTTTCTTGTTATTTAATCTGATACCGTGGGTACTGTACATGTTCTTGATCATGGACACGTTCAAGAGCCGGCTCAGGATGACCGGTGCGTTCTGTTTCTATAGCATGGTACCCGCCATGTACTTCATACTGATGTTACGGGGGGATCATATCAAGGAATGCATGAGGCACTTGGAGGAAGACTGGAGGAACGTGGGGGACGCGAACGATCGCAGAATCATGTTGGACAAGGCCAGAAACGGGCGTTTCATTCTCATCTGCACTACGCTGTTCCTATTCACCAGCGGCTTCACCTACCGTCTAATTCAGCCGATAATGCGTGGCAAAATCGTAATCGGCAATATCACGATCAGACCGCTAGTGCAGGGCCACTACTTCATCTTCTTCGATCCGCAACAGAGTCCCGCTTACGAGATCGTGTCCTCGATGCACATGTTGACCGGGATCATCATATACATTGTGACAGCCAGCGTTTGCGGAATTACCGCATTGCTCACCATGCACGCTTGCGGACAACTCAAGATGCTGGCTGTCTGGTTGGAGAACCTGGCAAACGAAGACCAATGGTCGAAGAATCGTATCGTTGCTCAAAGATTGGCGGCAATTGTTATACACCATGTGAGGATACGTAAGTGAGTAACTGAAATTATATTATACATTTCCTGTTAATTCTAAATTTATTTTTAGGTTTACAATTTATCTGGTTATATGAATATTTATCATTGAAATATTGATTATTTTAATGCCTTTTGGGATTGGCTTTGCAAATATTTATGCAAATATTAAATATTAAATTCAGAAAGATTCTGAGTAGATTTATTTTTTGAGTTATTGACAATTAAAGAATTTCATTCTTTCACAATTAAAGAATTTATTAGTAAAACTTTTATTAATTATTATATATCTAATATTAATAATTATAAAAAAAAACCTTTAATATATAATAACTAAAAAATTAAATTTATCGAATTTTAGATTTTTACATCAAATACAAGATGTTGTAGGAGATATGTGTTTTATCGAAATTATTGGAAGCACTTTGATATTATGTCTCCTAGGATATTATGTGATAACGGTATGCAACAGTGATGCATTTGCATTTAATAATATTTTATATCTACTTTTTTTGGCACATAGATTTTTTGTAATTGTATATATGTAATTGTATATGCTTTGAAGTTTTCAAATAAATAATACATTTTAGGGGTGGGAACGAAACGATGCTGTATCTTCTATGACATATGCTATAATGCTCGTATCCTTTACATTCAATATTTTTATATTATGTTACATTGGGGAAGTTTTGACTAGTCAGGTAGGGTACGTAGATAATACAAATGTGCAAGGGTACAAAAGATATTACTAAGCAAAAAATGCATGAAAATAAAATACTTAAAGATAAGAATTAATAAATGATATATTTGAAATATATAAATTGTTAAGATTTTACTGCTAATATACATGCGCTTTGCATAACAGGGGAGTAAAGTAAACACGACTTGCTGCACGATCGATTGGTATTGCTTGCCTAGTAAAGAAGCTCGTTATCTTATCCTAGTAATCGCAATGGCCAGATATCCTACGAAGCTTACGGCGGGTAAAGTGATCGATCTTTCATTCAGCAGCTTTGGCGCTGTAAGCAATTTTATCTACACATTTCTCCTGCATCACAATAATAACAAAGAAAAGCATTTATAATAAAATAATATATTTAATTAAAAAAGTATTACTTACAAGAATTATTTGATTGAAAAATATATCATTATTTAATTATTGATTTTTCTTCATAAATAAGTTCACATTTCTTTATATATATATATATATAATAAAATTTAAATGTAATAACTTTTATTTGTATTTTTAGGTTATTAGGACTGCAATGGCGTATTTAAATTTGTTGCGGACGGTCACTCTCTAACCGCGTAATATTACATCATATATATATATATATAATAAAAGAACTTGTCATATTATGCAGATCAAGTACTTGTAATTCAAAACCGTAAAATAGCATTCATGCAGATTCAATTACGTCTTTCATCTTCAAAGATTTTTGCCATCCTGAATTTGATATCTTTCCACTTATAAGAAACATATCTCAAACTTTAATTATTAATAAAAGAAATTATGAATAAGATAATTACACACCTCACATTTATATAAAATAGTAAATAGAATAATATTTAAGCAAACAATATCTTTTACTATCTATGTTGTGAATGTTATTATGTTTCGAAGCACAGTTCACTTTCTCTCCACGAGAGATATATTTTTCTTATCACGCAAAGACCGCGCTATCGTCAGCTTGCGCATGACATTTTTTCATGATTTTCTAAAACGGGATGCAATTCAAATATAATGTTACGTCTCCCCCTAGAGTCTACCAATATAGTAGCTATTATAAGATGCACCTTGCAGGAAACGGAACGATTCTCGAAGTACCACGTACTCTTTTCAGATAACTACACAAAGTTGTTCGCTTAGGAAATTTCCGCGTAGGATCCCCTTTTTTTTCATGGAAAATTTAATGGCGCAAGCGCAGATCGCGTCGAGAATGAGACTTGAAGTCTCGCAACTCTCAGTACACATCAATCGTCCATACCATGATGAAGGAAAATTCATTTCATTATCTTCATGATGTTCATAGCGAATCTAAATCGTATAATCGGATTTACAAAGAGGATCTTCGATCCAGTATGCAACTAAATATCTGGGTCATGAAGATAATCGGCACTTGGCCGCTAAGACAATCTTGGACCGAGACGTTATGGAACAGAGTACTGAATGTAATCTGTTATGTGTTACTGGCCTTTCTTCTGATTCCCAGCGGCATGTTTATCGTTCTGGAGATTAAGGACTTCTACAATCAGCTGAAACTCGGTAGCGCTCTCACCTTCTTCTTCATGGCCGTGATGAAATACTGTGCTTTGCTTCTGCGCGAGGGCGACATACGCAGATGCGTCGATTATATCGAGGGAGATTGGAAAAACGTGAGATACACGGAGGATCGGAAGATCATGTTGGAGAACGCGAATTTTAGCCGCCGGCTGGTAATCATCTGCGGTATCTTCATGTACGGTGGCGTCCTGTTCTATTTTGTTGCGGTGCCGCTAACTCGCGCGAAGATCGTCGAGGAGGACGGCAATATCACCTATCGCAGACTGGTGTTCCCGGTGCCTAACGTAATCGTTGATGCTCGTCGTAGTCCCGTCAACGAGATATTCTATTTTATTCAATTGTTTGCGGGCTTTGTCGCCCACAACATCACGGTAGCCGCTTGTGGTTTGGCAGCCCTTGTCGCAATGCACGCTTGTGGACAACTGCAAGTGCTCATGTCTTGGATAAGCCATCTGGTCGACGGTCGAGAGGGTGTCAATGACACTACTGACGAGAGACTGGCAAAGATCGTTCAATTGCATGTGCGCATCTTGAAGTAAGTGTAACTTTGGGCATACCGAAGTATTGCGCATGCACCTCATTTATTATTATTCAAAAGTTGCAATATGAAAAATTAAATTATACTGATATTTAATGTCAATCAATGTATTTAATCAATACAATGCATTAATAAATACAATGTTTATTTAATCAATGCATTAATTAAAAAAATTCTGCAGTAAATAATATTTATATAATTGATATAAATTGATATAAATTTTTTGATAAAGAAATTTTTTGAAAAAAAAATATCGAGCCATAAAAAATTATATATCTGATAAAGAAAAATTTAATTATTTGCTTGTCTTGGGCATTTTTAGCTTCATATCTTTAGCTGAGGAATTGTTACATGAGATATCTCTGGTGGAAGTTGTGGGATGTACATTGAATATATGTTTTCTTGGATATTATTGTATGATGGTAGGTCTATTTAATATAATAAATTTAATATAATAAATTCATATTTTATATTGTTAAAGATATGATATGTGTTACACTGAGAAAAAATGCTATTGAATCAACAGCATTAGTCTAATTGGAAATAATTTTTGTTAATTCATATA